GCCACTCACTGTCTCCCAGGGAAAGGGCTTTGGAGAGTGCTATTGCAGAACTCCCAATTTTTGGATAAATCTTGACCAGAGATCCAGACAGCATTCATCATGTGCATCTAAACAACGTTTGTGGACCTCAGAAAATGGAACCTCTGAATGGGATTTGGACAAAAGGCATAACCAAACCAGAAGCAAAGGCATTTTTGTGCAACTTGCAAGCTTATGATTGATAGGTGGTGGGATGGGCATCTGAAGACACACTGAAGGAAATTCTCGGGGTTCCTCTAAAGAAAAGGGATGAAGCAGTACAAGTACAAAGTACAAAGGGAAGAAGCAGTAAGATGCAAGGAAGAACGAAACAGGAAACATACAGCAATCATTTCTTATGAAGCACTGGAGAGATGGCCCACCATCACTAGGCACTTCTCCACATGAGGCTCAGAACTGAAGTCTGGCCCACAGCCACAGACAATACTGAAAACACTCAGCCAACAGAAACGTAAAAGCGTGAGCACTTACAAAACCCAACTCTAAACAGACATTAAAATACATACATAGTGCATACACTTCAATGACTATAAGGAAACCTGTAAAAAATTATTTTAAATGACAAAAATGGACTGCTTCTTCCTACCCTATCTGCACCAGTATTCAAGAGATCCACTCTATTTAATGACCCCTTCTGTTGGAAAGTTTCAAACTCAATTCACAACCCCACTTCAGAGTGAACTTGCCTACTCCCCCCAAGTTTAAAAAGGCTAAGTTACAGGCATGCAGACTGTAAACACATTACCACAGTGCAATACAGTAATCTCAGCAGACTCTCTCTGCAAGTGCCTTGATATGAAGGTGTGATGAGGAGCTTTATGAGCAAGATGATGCTTCCCATTCTGACACAACACCATTACAAGTGAGCCCTACCCAAGACCCTGACTTTTTAGTGCTGCATAGGCCTGAACTTCAGGAGTTGAGTCTGTGTACTAAGGCCTAGGATGAGAATTTTAAAATACATCCCCTTGATTCCTTAGCTACATACAGATGTTATATGCTACCAAAAGGGGCTTGCACTACCAAGTGAAACTAGCACTGGTTCTGTGAAGACTCTGCTGGTAACACACACCTTCCAGATTTCCCTCAAAGCTGGGAAACTCTTGTTCACTACTCCCATTTTTGATAACATAATAAGCAACATAAAACCCCTTCTGAAAAGGGACTTTTAGACATACGTACGTCATTCTGCAAAGGAAACACGAAGATCCCTGTGATATGTTTCCAGCACTTATCCATTCAGCCCTTTGTATCAAGTTCCAGGATCATCTCCTCCTGCCCAGTTTTGCCTTCTCATTCAGAAAGAACCATTAGGGCAGACCCCAATCTCTCTACCTCCCTTTAGTCAAACAGCCTTTCTGCCAGCACCTTGGAGTTAGACTGGGCATCCATGCTTTTTAAGTCTTGGCTTCCAAAGCAACATTCTTGCAACTCTCATTTCTTTCAGAAAAATTGCTGGAGCACGCAGCAAGGTAATTGAGAGGAATCTAGTGCCTCCTCACATCCTTATTCAATCTTCTCTATGTGGCTCTGCACTTCTTTATTTTTGTTCATCCAGTCCATCCTGGTGGCAACACAGATGAGATGACACAGAACAGCCCTCAAACCAAGCTGAAGTTAGGTTAGGATTTGTCAGCACTCTAAGATATTTGATCAGATATGGATGGATTTCTACAAAAAGTGTCAGAACACCAGTCTTAGACATTCAGCTGCTGTTGTTCTCAGTGATTTCAGTATGTCCAAAATTACAATACAAGGAGACTTCATAGTTTGCCTTCATAGTCATCTATTTACAGAAAACTGACCAATCTCACCCAAAGAGCGTAGATTCCTTCCCCTAGTAGTCAATAGTCACTGTTTTGCTTATAGGGCACCTTCTCAAACTGGATAATGCTCACCACCTCTTTCAAATCACACTGTTAAGGACAAGTTCTTCTTCTGCAATAGCCATTTCTGAACACCTGATGCATATTTGTCAGGATGGTGGTGTTTGCTGTCCAGTAAGGTGAATTTTCTAGACTCATACTCAAGTTACCATTAAAATTGTCCAAAAATCATCCAAAGACCACAAAGGGAAGCTGAGAGGCTGTAGAAAAAATAGATCTGTCTGCAAAGGAGAACTACAAAGGGCGTGGAGGGGCTGAAGGGATGCAGACAAAGCCAAGACTCAACCCTGTGACTGTGAAATTCTGGTTAACTTCTATGTAGATCGTAACTCTGTTATCAACATAAGGGGAAGAGTAGTCTACTCCACGTGTTATCAAAGAACACAACCATGTTGTGCACACTGTTGACCAGTTTACATTCACCTGCTCATTCATTCATGCACAGGCAGCACCACAGTTTAAGCTTAGAAATCTCGATCCATGTCTGGCAAAATTCCTGTGCTGAGTCCTTACAGCTAAACCTTGCAAACAGATTTCTGATAGCACAGGAATTCTGGCACATAGTCCCAGGAATCACAGAAATACTTGAGTTAGAAGGGACCTTCAAATGTCATCTAGTTCAACTCTCCTGCAATGAACAGGGACATCTGCAGCTAGATTAGGTTACTCATAGCCCCAACCAGCCTGTCTCTGAATGTTTCCAAGGATGGGGCATCCACCACATCTCTGGGCAATCTGTTCCAGTGCTACACTACTCTTACCATAAAAAACTTTTGTGTTATATCCAATCTAAATCTCCCCTCTTTTAATTTGAAACCGTTTCCCCTTGTCCTATCACAGCAAACCCTGCTGAAGGTTCTGTCCCCTTCTTTCTTACAGCCCCTCTTTAGATACTGAAAGGCCACTATAAGGTTTCTCTAGCGCCTTCTCCAAGCTGAACAGCCCCTGCTCTTTCAGCCTGTCCTCATAGAGAAGCTATTCCATCCCTTGGATAATTTTTGTGACCCTCCTCTGAAGGCACTTCAAGATTGCACACTAAAGCTAGAAGTCTAGGATAGACCCCAGCCATGCAGTAGCAGTAAAAGCAGAGGCATAGGGGCCCATTGCATGATGTGGTTTGAGAAGAACACAAACTCACAGCATCCACAGGCACAGCTACAAATGAAGAAATAGCAAGTGGCAGAAGGCTCTACATGGTAGATATTTGCTCTGAATGCCATAGAGAACTCCCTTCATGTTCTCACACAAACACCACACCATGAAGCAACCTGTTTTTTTTTTTTTTTTTTTTTTATAGGCAGAGTAGGATCAGGAATCAAGGCCCCAGCTTTCAGTTCCCTTCTGTAGACAACAAATCACTTCCCAGAAAGCAATTAACAGGCAGGTGCATTACTGAAGCTGTCTAGAGACCTAGTTGAAAAACACTGAGTTTATCATTTTGTTCTTGACTGCCTTATATTTATCCAGATGAATGCTTGCAATCCTTAATGCCAATAAATAAATAAATAGTGTTTGTAATATTACACTGAGTTTTGACAAAAAGAAAAATATGAAGGATTATACTGTACTACATTTTCATGAATGCAATGGAAAAATGAAGTGATAACAAGAGCTACAGGATGAACAACTTTTCCGGTCTCTTCACAGCACTAATTGGCAGAAAAATGAAAATACTCCTTCCTTTTAAAGCACTGAACTGTTGTAGGAATTGTATCTAAGTAATACCATTAATCTGCATGCTGCACGCCACAAAACCCACAACCGGTATGAAACTAATTCTGTTCCATTCCTTACTTTCAAAGCCTAGCTTCATAATAAATGGCTTGGAGAGCATCTTCCAAGGTCTGCAGGTGGATGATGCAAAGAACAAAAAATTCTGGAGTCAGCACGGAGAATGAAGTGTTTTGAGCACTGCACACAAAGCCCACAGCCATAAGACCTTACATTTGTGTAAGAATTTAAGACTGAAAGTTCTCTGGTTCTAATGAACTGGTCTGAAAGCACCTACAGCAGTCAGCCCATCGAACACATACCAGAGGAGTCGATAATGGAGAGGCATTCCTTTTCATTCTCTTCTCAGGCAAGGGTAGCAGTCTGCATTAGCTGCAAAGAAATAGTCATGTTTTTGCACTGACAGTCTCAGAAGACAGTAGCACCTTGGGAGACCTCACAGCCCATTACAACCACTTTCATTTGCTTTACTTTGCACAAATTTTCATGATGAAAAAACAAACCAGACATCAACAACAACTTTTTGTTCACAGTGACTTTACAACTTCATTTCTTACACAACACTTTAAAAATCAATCTTCCACCTCCCCCTTTTTCACTCCCAAGCAATCACAGGAAGGATTTCATCTTTAAAGAACAATTTTAATGATGTCAGACAAAAAACTAAAAGGGAACAACCTCAGGTTATGAAAATTTCAATATTTTTATCTTAATCTTCTGTTATTTAAATCTCACAAGAAGTTTTCATGATTGATAACAAAACCCTAAGAATTAAAGAGATGATTCAATCTGCTGTAGAATGTCAGCTTTTCTGACATCAACTGTATATCTTTGCAAATAACAGGCACTTACAAAGATTATCAGTTTACTGGAACAAAACAGAAGGCACGAATTAATGAATACAAGAGTTCAAATTCTCTAACTTAAAACCCCCTACTTTCAAGGTTCCAGCCTATGAAAAAGAATTGTTCCATGTCAGAAAAAAAACACAATTTCACAACTACATTCTGCAGATAAGTTAACTAGAGACTATGGTCCAACCAAAACAACCTAAATTTCACATAAGTCCTAGTATTTGTCAACTTAATTAGAGTCTTTAGAGAGCAGAAGGGAAGCAGTCAATCAGCTTTACAGAAGGGACAGAAACACAATACGAGGTCTCTCTCCACAGTCTGCATTGCTGCTATACGGATCAGCTTGCACGAGTGCTCTCTTCCACAGTTGTTCTCACTGCTCCCTTAACAAACCAATTTGCATGGAGATAAAAAAAAAAAAGAGGCTTACTCAATGCTGGCTGTCAGCATAGACTAAAATGATTCTGATACTAAATAGATAATTGAAAAAAAAAAAAAAGAAAAAAAAAAAAGAGTTGCAAGTATCCAGTCCATTGGCAGCACTGACTTGCCAGGCCACATGAGCAAGCAGCAGGCTTGTATGATTGTAACAGCCCTTCTGTAGGCTTCTCTCCAGTTGCAAAAGACAGTAAAAAGAAAATCATAAAAGGGTTTCTGTAATGCAAACAGCCTACAGGAGCACATTTTTAGTAGACTTTGATGCTACAGTTATCTTCTAGCTGAGCTCAGTTTCACAGTCCAAGGCAAACTGTGAAGTTACAACTTTCCTTTTTCAAGAGAATTTGTGTATTTAACTCTGACCAGCTTAATTTGAAGAATATAAAAAGCTGCCTCAGCTAGACAATGTACTGATTAACATTGACTTCAAAAAGGGGAACTGTGTTTGAAGGAAACGGGAAGCAAAGTAGGGGGAACGTAGGAACTACTCAAATCATTATAGATGGCTCAGCCACGTGTCTCTAACAAACAGGGGGGGTGCATCAATTTCGTACTGTGTGGTTGCATTAATAATAGGTTTATCTACAAATTCTATCTCACACAGCTGGATGCTGCATGGAGAATGCTCCAGCTCCAACACTGTTATGTTGTTTGGCACTGATGAAACAAGTATATTCCTTGGAACAAAAAGGGTCAACTGAGGGCCACGGGCTGGCCAGTAGCGACCGAGATTAAAGCCGTTGATCCAAATTTGCCCCTGTTCAAAGAGAAAGAAAACATGATGAAGTTTTAATAGTTTGACAATGATCAAATGACTACACTTTTTAAAACATAACATGCTTCACATTGTAAGTGAGTTTTCTTGATCTGTCAGTTTGATAGGACACCAGGATAGAAAATCTATTCAAGAAAATGCTAGAAATAACCAAAATAATCTAAATTCCCTGATGCTTTGCTGCTGTTTTAAAATGAAGTGGTCAGATACTGTGGTCTTTCCAGATATGACAGTTCTTAGTTGCAGATTTCTAACAACGAATTTTATAACCAGCCTCAGACCAAAGCAAGCCCTGAAAACTTCATTTGTTTGAAGCTGATTGCTGAAGAGAGAAAAAACTTGCAAAACAAGAAATCAGATTCTAATTCTTCTGTTGTCGTCCGCAAAACATAATACTACATCATCTTTGTACTCCTTTCCTTTGCATGATTTCACAAAGTAAGATGTACAGCTTGCCCCAGCATGTTAAATTGCAATGTTTATTATACTTTAAATAGTTTAGCTAACTAAGGAAATTATAAAATTACAGTACAAAGGTACTGTATTTTACACTGGTTGAAACAAAATTTTTTAGGTTTTGCTAGCATTAATGTAAATTCAATGACATTGTGGTTAATTCAGCATACAAACTCTTTAAATTACTTTTTATAATAGAAGTGACCCCTAATAGTTTAAAATACTGTTCTAACATCATAAACATCCCAAACAAAAAAAAAGGAAAACAAGAAAATAATGTAAAAATGAAAACAGTCTTTTATGCACCAGAAAGTGAACACACTGCAGTGAAACAAATACAGGTTTTTCCAGACGTTTTGAAACTGAAGAGATGCTAAATGTTCAGCAAAACTGCAAATGGATTCTGGAGGTGAATTGCACTGTTCATTAGAAAAGATATAAGCTGATCTGGACAAACCATCTGCTTTTATTCTTCTTAAGTGTCCTTTTCATCATGTGTCAGACAATTCACAAAGGGTTCAGAAGCCAAGGAAGAGGATGGGAACAGTTAATTTAATCTGTGTTTTCCTTTATAGACTGTAGAAATCTGAATGCAGATTTCTGAAATGCAGTCATGGCACTGATGTACATTGATAAAAATTACAAAATAACCTGAATCTAGGATTGCTAAAATTCAGATAATAAAAAATTACAGAAGCACTAATGTAGAATACTGAATCTTACTGTTCCAGGTGTTTTGGAGGCATTTTTTTTCTGCTTTCTTTTTTCTATTTACTAAAACAGCTTTTATGGAACTTGCAAGATACATATTCAAGGAGCTGGTATATTTGTCAATGCTGACGAATTATTTTATCTCTGTATCCATTACCACATGCCAAGAGGTTAATAAATTTTGACCTCAAACTTTTTTTCATATTTAAATCAAGTTTATCTTCGTTCATTGCTTGCTTTTGATGTATTTTAATCTTGCCCTTTAGGATAAGGGAAGCTTTTTAAATCAAGCTTATTACTTTACTTCTACACTAGTTTCATGGTAAAATGTGACATTAACACAAGCTATGCACCCAACACAAAAAATGAATTTGCAAATGCACTTACGACACAATAGTCTAACTAATAGACAGGGTGACTGTAACTCCCTATGGGAAGGAGGAGTTTAGCATAGGAATCAGCTCATTGGAGTTCTATGCAGCAGGTGTGCTCATACAGGTCTTGGTTTCTGATCTTAATCTTGTTTTTCCAGTAAAACCACGAACTTCGTTTCTCATTTCCAAACTGACATTTAAAACAAGAACAGCACAGGCAAGGAGTGGATGTCTATCTTCAGAAACAAGATTTCCTCTATCAGGGTCACCAATCATAACCCATGATACCACAGAAATGAAGAACAGTCATGACTGCAAATCCTCTTTTTTATTCAGATCAAAAAACTAATAATCATCTGACAAATCTAACCATATATCCAGTAACATGCCCCACTAGGAACACCATGCTTCCTGAAGTGAGAATTGAGGAAGTTTTGTTAAGAGAAAGGTTTTAAAAAACACCAAAGGCGAATGAGCAACAACAAGGTCATGACTGTTAATGCTGCATCCTTCGGGGTTATCCAGTATGTCATATTCCTTGTCTTAATATGCAAAGGTAACATACTACTAAGAACTGCATGTTTTCTTAACAAGCACTGTTTGTGTGGATTTTGAAGTACAAACACCTGTTTTTTTTGATCCTATTCAGAGCTCCTCTCCATACCTTGCCATCAGCAATTTATGCAATGCCACTCAAGGAATTAAGACCTCCAGCAGGACTTGAGTGGAATTTAATCTCTTACAGCCTTAAGCCTTAATAGGCATTTGCTCATTGTAGAGTTATCTGCAAGTCCAAGATTCTGTCTTTCTTCTCCCCAAACTCAACCTTTCACCTCAATCTTATTACTCCTGGGTACCTTATTTAAAATTTTTGTGTAATCCATACAAAGCTTGAAGGATCCATCCAATAACCACATTTACATTTTGTCTGGCATCTCTTCTCTTTGACCTCTTCAGAGGGTATACCAACCACATAAAGCAGAAGTTTATGTTCAATAGATCAGATGAAAAGATTGCCACTAACACCTAAGAATTCCTGGACACATTTGGCTTTTCAAAGATAGGAAGATGGCTTGTGATTCTGTGATTACGTCACAGAATTTACTGCAAAAGTTCCAGATTCCAGCTCCTGTGAAAATAACTATTTTTATTTTCTTCTGTGATTGTGCAAGATATGTACATGTACAGAAACAGGGACTGTGAGACTTCCTCATCCAAGCTCAGCGCAGGCAGCACAAAAAGCCTGCAATGAATCAGTCTTCTGCATACTGGAAAGTTTGTTAACCACTAAAATGCTGTACAGAGATCACCAGCAACTTCTCCTACTCTCCTTTAATAGCTATAAGTAAACTGTTTCAGAAAGGAATAACTTTGCTACCTAACTTCATCACTCTGATATCTGGAGTTAATTCCTGAGGCCTCCAAAGGGAGTGATGTTTCAGTCCACACATTCTTGCCCACTGTGTCTCCCATCAGCAACATGAATGGTCTTCACCCATTTTGCATGCTGTCTCAAACATGGCACCCTGAAAACATACTCTTTTCTGTTCTAGCTATACTATATAGCTATATATAGTATATATAGTATAGCTAGCTATACTCCAACCCTGTCAGAAGTTCCTATTAATGGACACCTGCTCACAAGCTTCTTGTGGCATTGCTTTCTGACCCTTTCAGTCCAGCCACAGGTAAGCACCAGAAGACAGTGTTACTGCCTGTCTGGGTCCATACTGACAGACACTCTACCAGCAGTGCCCAATTCTCTCTACACTATGTTACTATGTACCTTTTGAGTATGTTTCCCTCTTCTTAGTAGTTTACTTACAGATTCACTCTAACCAAGGAATCCACTTCCTAGTCATTCAAATATATTTGACATATCTCACTATAACATACTCCTACCAAGCAACAGAAAGGTGGACTTTGACCTTCCACAGAAGTTTTAGTAGCTGCCTGAATAGACTTCAAGTTTGAACAGCAAAAGTTGTACCTTTGTCCAGCCAGGAAATTTAACATAGGTGTCTTGAGGCAAGTCTGGAATCCCTCCAGGAATTGAAAGTGTACCAGTGTAGAAGGCAGGTGCTTGGTAACTCTGTGGATTGCTATCAGATCTCTTTGGGTGGCCAGGGTAGCCATGAATGAAATGGTTCACTGCTCCGTCTATATTTAGGGGATACATTTCCCATTCAACAAGAATATCTTGACCGAGAGTTAAATTTGAAACTAGACCCTAGGAGGAGAAAAAAAGAAAAAAAATCAAAGACAACATAATTAGCTTCATGTTACTGAAGTTATCCAGATGCAATTATAAACAAGGAATAAAAACTTTTCTGAGTCAAAGATGGAAAGACAAATATCTGGGCTTCAACAAGTTGTAAGTTCTACTTCAGAATAAAGGGTTTAATTTATTCTCTGTGAAAGTGTTGTTCCTTTGACAAAGTTTTGAGCTTTCTCTGATGCCTAGGTCTCTTTTTCAACCTTTTTTTTCCCCATTAACTGAAAATATCTACTTTTCTTCAATATGAACATGATTCAATAGCACAGGACTTAATAAAAAGCAGAAAAGGGGTCATGTAGCTTAAGTTTTGAGATAGCATCTAAAGATTTGGTAACATTGAGTCACTAACTCAAGATATTAACCCACACAATGGCAGAGAAAGCAGTATTTACTTCCTACAAGCCTTCTACAGCGAGCATACAGTATCACAAAATCAATGCACATGCTTCGTGACCCCGATTCAGTGAAATACTTTACGTTTACAGTCAGCTTCAAGCCCACATAGAACCTGTTTTCGTTTCCATGGAACTCTGTGCACTCTTGAAGCACACCAGGGTGGTCACAGAATGAATGCAAAAGGCAAGGCAAAGTCACAATTTAAGGGGAGTGAAAGGAATGTGAACACACTTCTTAGTTGTGTTACATTAATGATCTCTAAAGCTGAGTTTCACTGCCAAATGAGGAATTCATTTTAAGCCAATTCTGCTACATCCATACAATCTCCTGAACAGACCCTGTATAGAAGCTGTTTTTCAGTACAACTGAAGTTCTGTTGCAAGCACTGCAAGATGAAGAGGAACAAAAAGTTTTATGAATAAAGCCACGAGTGAAAACACATTTTTTGTTGTCATGGAAGGCTGACAATACATAGCGTGTCTGTTCTGATGTCTAAAACACACTGCACTGACATCACAAGCCTAGTGATCAGTATAAGCAGAACAAGAACTTCCTTTGCTTACCTGAAAATAAAGTATCTGCACAGAGTTAAGTGGCAGAACTCTTCTCTACAACCCAGACTTTATCTGGCAAACACTTGGAGTAATGCAACAAAGTTTTAGTCAAAACTTTCTAACCTGTCTCTCATCTACTTCTAGGTGTTAAGAATGGTGTGGTTTTCAAATGAGTTGAGGTGCCTAAAGGCACTCTTTCTTTGGTCAGCATAAGAATGCACACGCAAGAGATCAGATTGGGACATGAATTTTCCAAGTAAAATAAAGATGTAAATGGCAGTGAGTGTGAAAAACAAAGAAACAAACAAACCCAGAAACCACACTCTTTCTTCCTACGTTTCCTTTAACAAGGCCTCAACCAGCAGGATGTTTTAAAACCAGTATCTGCTTAAGATTCTTTCCCAAAAGATAGATGCCAGGTTCCACTTCAAACTCAAAAAACTGAGAAAAAGTAGCTGAACAAAATCCAGAAAAGCTACCCTATTGTCTTGAAAGTCCAAGGCTTAACAAGATGGAAACCTCTTCCCCTAATGTTATTTTTGAAGCCATAGAATATCTAAAAAGGCAAAATCATCCCCCGTTTTCAAAAATCAACACAATGAATATTTGCCTTAAGGTATTCTTTGCGAAGGAATCTATGGGAATAAGCAACACGCATTTTCCAAAGCTACATGGACAACGTCTCCTCCTTCTGTGTGAAAGGACTGTGCTTGTAGAGGTTTATTCCCACAGTGGACATCTACTATATTCGCTTTCACTTCATCTCTGGAAAGCTGAAACCCTGGTATAAGTGTGAATTTCAGCTTAACCACAGCAGCACTGAGCACCTCCCTACTCCAGTTTCTAACACTTGATTATATTACTGTAGGTTAGCAAGGAGTACATAAATTTCCTTATCACCTGGTCCGTTACTAAATAAATCAAGACAACATTTCTGCTGCCTCTAGATGACAGCAGAACACCGGGGAAATAGCTACTCTCTTGCCACTCAGAAAAAGAGTACAGAGCCTTGAAATGACAGTCTAATTAAGCACTAATTCTCCACTCTGAAATTGCCAAGCACAGAAAATTGTCACAAGCACAGAAAACACTCAGATACTGATAATTTAATTCAGAGATTTTTATACATCCTGAAATCTAAGTTGCTTTGCCTTGACTAGAATCTTAGAATAACTGGAGATAGACCTAGAAATTCACATCACAACACACTTGATAAGATAACCAGTCAACTAGTCACCTTTAAATCAAACCTTCTGTGCTGCTTAACCATAAACAACAGATACTTTATCAATGCAAAGATGCCCATCCTCTTCACGGCAGCAAAACACAAGTGTGAGAATAGGTGATTCTGCCTGCTGGTGATCTCACAAGACTCTTCCCAATCTATGTTTTACTGTTCAACTGGAATTTGTAACAGGCCCAAACTCAATCCGAGTTTGGAACCTCATCAACAAAGTAAGGTAAGATTTATACACTCTTCCTACTTTCTCACAGCATATGTGCCTTTAACTCAATGGTACAGTTTAGCATGTGTCTTCATTCCCATGACGTTTGTCTTTCTCCTGCTGTTGCATCCAATCTAACCAAGATACATTTTGGACAAATCTCAGTTCTGCTCGCAGACAGAATTTAGACTGAGAGGAAATATGGGCTTCCACCAATTGGTGTCACCTGCAGTATCAGAGGGAACCACAGTCACCAGACAGTTATTAATCTGTACAAACATTTGACCAACATTCTGAAAGAACACTGCCAAATCAATTTAGGCCAAGTCTAACGGCAATTTACAATTTGTACATTTTGGGGCCTGCAATTCTCAACTTAACTGTAAAGCTTTCTGTCATTACCCTGATACTATGCGTAATCTACTAACATCAAAATCTGAAAAAGAAAATAAAATAGCATGCCGTGAACACTGCAGAAACACATCAGACTGGCCTTTTTAATACTTCTCTTCCTTTCACTAGAAAATGTCACTCAGCACTGGGAAACCCCTTAAGTCTAAAACCAGATAACATTCCTTTTTGTCCCCTGCCTTTCTCAGTGTTTCTTTTGTGGTATTGCTGCTAATGGCAGGAGGTGACAGCTCCAAAGTGTAGCACGGCTTTGAGTGTGAAGATTACTTCTATAAGATCAGTCCAAACCTGAACTGGCAACGTGGCATGGTGAAGTACTTGCAAGACAGCCTCACATCACTGCGCTGAAAATGTTGCAGGAGTACACTACTGACAAATGATATGGGACACAAAAAGATACACAAAGGTATGTGTGTACACATGTGAATATACACAGAAATACAACCTCAGGATTCACAAGCTGCTAAGCATGATCAATGCTAGACAGATTTCCAATTTACTTTTGAGTTTATCTAAACAGTTTTGCTCATCTTAAAATTTCTCCCTACCTTGAAGTCGTTATTGAATCTTCCAAAGTTGACTCGGCCCATATTCTCTACTAAGATGTCCAGATTTGCTCCAGCATTTCCAGTTATATTTATCATTAGTGACTTGTCTCTTTCAAGGACTCCTTGCTGAACCTATATGAATTACACCAAAAAGAAGAAAACAATAATCATTGAACAAAAAACCTCTACTATCTCTTTCTTAAATTTACATGAATAAAAGAAAGGGATGAAGGTAAGAAACAAATGAATGTTAAAATATATATATCTTTTCCTTTCCTCCTTTTACACACCAGCACACACACCCACAAACCTGGTACGTCAATATTCACATTTCAGTACATCAAATAGATGTACAAGTCGCACTGGTCACATTCATCCAACCGAAGTCATCTCTTTCAGAAGTTTAATTCAACTAAATCAATTTTCCAATTCTAGTGGCTTTTGTTGCACTCCCAAAACATTAATCCAGTAACTGAAAAAATGTTGTAAGTGTCAGAGATTAAGAGATGATTCACATCCCAGTTAAGCTTACATCAATATTTAGCTTTACTTATTCCCATTCTCACATCAGGAAAGAAGAGCTTGACATGGCAACATCAGTGAACACACTGCAGCCAGCCATCAAATGTAAGTCTGCGTATACGTACCTGTGTGTATGTATGCATACCAAAAAACTTCAAGTAAGCAGCAATTTTTCCTACTTATTTTTCACTGATGTCATGAATGTGTATCAACGTTCAAGTACCTCAATAACTGAAATAACATTTTGTAATTTCTGAAACATTACTACGAATGTTTACTACAAATCAACTGTATACTTTTTTGCATCTTATTAAATGATATTATTTGATAAAGTTGTTTTGGTAAGCTGAAGAAAGGAGATAAAAAGCAGATTGTGTTCATATCTTTCATGAAGGCCACTCATAATAGTAATGGAGACCAGCAAACAACGCTTACCCCATCCACAGAGACATAGGCACGATCGTGGACTCCATTTAAAGGTGAACTCAGTTGTGTTGGCTCTGTGCAGTTTTTTGGAAGCTTCGTTCTGTACAGTACAAATCCAAAATACTAAGAAAGAAAAGGAAAGAAAAAAATCCCCAGATTAATCAGCTACACTATTCTCCAACTTCAATTGTGGTCATGCAGTAAAATATACTCTCGCTGAAACAAAACTTTCATTAGCTTCAGAAAGTATTTACCAGAGATACCAGCTTCAGATTAGAGTTCACTTTGACTTTTAAGCAACGTGTGTAAATTCCAGTTTCCATTTTGAATTGTTCATTGTAAATTTACATAACTGTAAAAGATAAAAGTCTTGGCTACAAATCTATTTCCCCAATAAAACCAAACCATTAATGACTAACAGTATGATTTCTTCATTATGATCAATTAACAATAGACGGAAAATCTTTTCATAACTGACTTCATATAACAAAGAGCACTTTGTCAACCAACACATTCATCAGGTCAGTATTACCTATTTTACAAACTATTGGGAACATTTTAGAATATTTTCCACTAAGTTCTCCAGCAGTAAATAAACAAAGTCATTTGACTTTGACAACATAGTCATTTGATCTTTTTTCTCATCACAAAGTGAAACACAAATTAAAACCAGTAAAAAAGGTGTATTGTCAGCAGCCACAAAACCATTTATCTTCAAGATTTGGATTAGAAGGGAGAGTAAACATTTCCAGTTCGCTATTATTATGACATTTACCTTACATTTGTAATGGTGCCCAGAAAAATGAAAAGAAAATGTGGGAAAATATTATGCAGCTCGACTGAATGGTCTCTCAGAAGATTTCCTAAACAGACTTCAAAGATGGGAAGAACAGAGGATGAAATAAAGACCAACTAGATAATACATTCTACTACAATGTACTACTTAGTGAAGCTTCTCTAGCACCTCTCTATTAGAGTCTTGGAAAGGAAAAATTTGAACTCTCAATCCTTACTTGATTAATGCCTTAGAAAATATCCCAGGCACCTGCTGAAATGCATCTGACAGGCAATTAGCACCCATGTTCCAGTCTCTGTTAAATTCAGCACAGAAGGGAGCCATATACTGTTAATGGAAATACATCGTCACTCAGCAGCAAGGGAAAGATCTTCCACTGTGGGGGAAGATATGGAAGTCACCACAATTGACGGGGACATTGATGCAGAGACAGAGAAAAATAACAGAGGGGAGAGTGGCAGTCAGCAGAAGCTATAGCAAAACACAGTTATGTATTTTTCTTAGTCAGTGAGAATGCCCTGGGCAGCGAGTTGTAACACATTTCTCCTTCACCACTTCTTCTCTTGAACAAGCATTTGGTAAAAGGAAAGGACAAAAAAAATAGGTAGAAGGCTCATAAAGAGTGTCAAATGGATTGCATTCCCCAACTCCAAGGTCCCTGACCTTCATGAAAAAGCAACATTTCATCCAGTGCTCTCACTTTGACAGCAGGTGAGGAAACAAATATATATAGCATATATCTACACTCATGAAAAGAGAAAATCTTGAATGCAAAACAGTAGGACTGTCAAATATGGAAAGATCTCATATCCAAAAAATCCTTTCCAACTTCCTGTGCTGAAATAAGGTGCAATACACTGGACATAAGAGCAGTCATACAACAGAGGGATGTTCAAATAAACTTGGCAAAATAACTGCAAAATGCCTAACAGAGGAATCCTTACCTGCTTGAGCTGAACAAAGGTTAATGGGTAAGTGCTTTTCACTGGTCCAGAAGGTGACAGCCTATCAAGAACCTCCACCACACTGCCCACCTGCAGCAGAAAAAGAAGTAAAATTCAGCCTAAACGTAACTTGGTTTTAGAAACTTTAAGGTTGTAACTTAGTGTCACATATAAATAGGTGGACTCATTTTAATAAGCAAAAAAGTACAGGCTAGTCACGCACTTAACTACCTTGCTGAATAAGGAAGGTACATACGTACCATTAAATTGCCTTTTGTTCCCCATCTGCAACATAAATTTGTGCTTATACAAGTTTTCTGCTCATCCACAATCCTATCTGAAAATCAACTATGAATGTGATGTTACTCAACATGTACCAGTATGCTTAATCCTTAACAAGCTCAAGAAGTCAAAAGCATTTAAACATTCAAAAGCATTCATGTAAGATCTCAGCCTGTTTCACAAGAAGTACCATCTCTGTTACATTAATTATACACAAGGCATCCCAGTACTTCCCAAACGCAGATTTGCTTTCAAATACTCAACAAAAAGAACAGTTAAAAAGAAAAATTAAAGAAGCATTTACAATAAAGAAAAAACTATCTCTATGTGCATTCACAGCAATACAAATTTCTTAAGCTAACGAAATAATGGAGATATTAAATTTTTGCACAGTATATATAAAGAAAACTGCTGAAATAATAAAATACATAGCAATATACACTGGTTTAAAATCCTTCTACACGTGACAGAGGTAATCATGAATCATCTATGCATCCGCAAGTATTTCTTCAGTATGTAGACATAGATCTAAATGAACTTAGCTCTAACTAGGAACAAGAGAGCAAGAGGAGACCATAAGCACACAAAGGGCAACACCTTCACTACCTGAAGGTTGGGTCTTCCTCAGTAGTCCACACCTAAACACCTTTATTGAGGCAAAAGGCTGTCTGTCAAATGACAGCTTCCAAATTTCCCGTGGAAGTAGCTTTCTCCTACATTTTCACCTTAAGCACTTCACTTAAGATGACAATCAGCTTTCAAAGAGTAAAATTCCCCAAATTGTAATGCAGGATGCAGTAGGCCACAGCAGATTGAACCACTGGATCTTGTACAACAGCTTTGAAGCAAGGAATGAGCATCTCTGCATAGATACTAAAAGATTATGGAATTAATGAACAAATTTACAAGCGTTAGCAGCCTAGGCTACTAACAATAAAACTAAGAATGGACATAAGTGGTATTAAGTCATATGTGGTCACTTACATAGCCTACTAACAGGCAATGAGTGCTGCTTTGGACCTTCATGAACTGAGAATTAGCCTGCAGATGTGTGCATGTCTGATGTTCTTCTAAGCTTACACTATCAAGGCGGCTTCTGTTCCACACGTGAGTGAGTTATATGTTTGACCTATGCACTAGGTTGGTAGAAACTAACTTCTTTGCAATCTTTTATTAAGCTTATCACTCTTAAATGATGTGCACAGAACAAAAATCAAGATCTGCTTTTGCTGCAGGTTCCTACTGATTACTACTTAGCTGACAATTGCTATCATAACAGAAACAGTAAATTTAAAAAAGTACCAACTTTGAACTTGGTCAAGAATTTCTAAAAGTAATCTGCACAGAAACAAACAGAAAAAAAACAACCAACAGATGACTAACAAATAACAGCAACACTTTTTGATCCTCCAGAGCAAATTTTCAAAACCAAAGTGAAAGATCAAACATGAAAGAAAGAACACAGCTGCAACAGGAGTGGTATCATCTACTGGCAGCATCCTGTCTGCTGAAACTATTTGTACCCCAAATTTTGTCCCCGACTCAAACCTCTCAGATTGCCTGCTACCATATTCATAACTATAACTTAAGCTTTTCACAGCCTAAGAAGCAAGCACAACTACAAGATCTACAAGTCTGCAGGCCACAATACTGGGGCAGGCATTTCATTGTGACCAAGCACTCCTCAGGGCCCCCTGAGTGGTGACCAGAAACTACCACCTGTTCTCAAGCCTCCAAGGCCACTAGATACACCGTGGACGGGAAGACACCTTCATTTGCATCTGCAAAGAACATTTCCCACATTCTGAGTCTGAAACTCTGCCTTCTTGCTCAAAGTTCTTGAGCCGACCTATTACTACTCTACCTAGAATCATAGAATTGCTCAGGCTGGAAAAGACCCTAAAGATCAAGTCCAACCACAATCTAACCATGCTACCCTAACAACCCTCTGCTCAATCATGTCCCTGAGCACCACATCCAAACGGATTTTTAACACATTCAGAGATGGTGACTCAACCAGCTTCCTGGGGAGCCTATTCCAGTGCTTGAACCTCTGCCTGTCCTCATTCCCTACCATGAATACATTTCTCTTTTCTATCACTGCAACAAGCTCTTTCCTCATTGCTTGCTTTTCTGTCCTCTTCCATAGTAGTGGCAGCATCCTTAGGTCTATTTTTCAATAGATCCTCCCTTTCTTTTCCCTCCAGAATAACTCTTTAAAATCATTCAGTAGCTCAAAATGAACACCTGTCTGATAAGGGAACAGCAGAAGGATGGGTGAGGATGTTTTATTGTTTTATTGCTTTACAGTCAGGTTGAGTTCCCGAATGACTTTGAGCTAGTGAAACTTATGTGCAAACATCTAAGAAATAATAGTAGCACAAGGATCTCTCCAACTAGAGGTAATGAGCTGCTGATCAAGCACTGAATTGTCCCAGAACCTCTTGTGGGAAAATTAGAGGATAACCTGGACTCTAAATTACATGAGCCTCTGTAAAGTACGCCATGCATCCACTGAAAATACTCTGGTGTCTGTTCCCTGTTTCTTTCTGCAGAAAGGTTGCAGCAGTTGGTTCATAGCAGTGGATTTGCTGCTCAGCTAACGACTAACTGCTGAACCACAACTGCACAGTGGAGTTTTCACACAGTACCTGTTCCAGCACTGTTACTGCAAATTGCTACAGCTGGGAAGATCACTATAGAATCATAAAATATCCTGAGTGGGAAGGGACCTCCAAGGATCACCCAAAGCAAAGTTACATTATTTTCAACAACTCCTATCTGACAAGTCACCCAAATACATTCAGGTTTCTCTAGACAAGAGGCATTGAACCTTGTTACAGTAGGAGTGGACAGCTTTGGCAGGAACAGTACAACCTTCTGTGATTTGTGACTTGTTCTGTGTTGCACTCTAACTAAGCAAAGGAGTAAACAGAAGTTGAAGTAAAACAGTGAGTTTACAGAGGAAAAACAATTTTCTTACCAGAAAACAATTCTAGAGGCTTTCAGTACAGATGACAATATATGTACAGAAAATGACTGGAACCTCACACCTGATAGCTTAGAAATGCCATCTTGCTTTCTAGAACTGCTGGGTTCAGAATAAAACACACCTCCTCAAACAAGCAGGAAGTGTTGGAGGTAGAAGGGAAAAGGAACAGGGTTTCCAGTGTGATGGTCAGGTCAAAGCTGTGATACTTGAGCCAGTTTAGTCATTTGCCCTGACCACGCATCTGTAAGACAGGATTCTGGTCCTGATGCTTTGCAGCTTTCATTTTTGGAGACAGAAAAGAGAAAATTCGTAATTCCCATGAAACTAGACTGTCCTATCTGAAAGGCATAAATCATAATAAAGAGCAGAGACAAAATCTGATTGCGAGGTTTCTGAGTGCCTGCAACCCACTACAGCAGCAGAAGTGGTGGGTGTACAGATAACAGTATAAAATTAGTCACTACCAAATGTAACCAATTCAGAAACCTCATATGGCAACCCTGACCTAAAAGGTCTGAAGGTACACAGAGATTGCTGAAAATGATATAAATCTGTGACAAATTCAAAAGTTGTGTCACTTTTACAAAGAACTGATTCCTGCCCACCACTTGTGTGGGATGACTCAAAAAACATCTGCAAAGCCTTATCACCACCAAATTTTTCCAACACTTCAGCTGCAGCTCGTAACAGATCAGATAAACTGTGGATTGGAACAGCAGCTGCCAAATTAAGCATACAAAATATACACTGAACTGTTATGAATTACAGTATTTACTACAGCAATCACAGTAATCTTCCACCTCCAAACAATTTGACTGGGAACAGCAGACTGAATAGAGACAAGTTCATACCTCTTTGTCTCTTTACTCTCTTAGACCGTATTTTACATCCAGTGCAGGAAACAAGTTATTAACCACATTTTACAAAACTGTCTCTAACCATGAAGGATGATGCTATAAATGGAGGATGGATGGTGCCAGCTACTCATGTGCTGATCAGTCACATGTCAGTTACCAAAGAAGATACAGTCAGGTTGAGTTCCGTTTGCTTTTCCTTCAGCAAGAAGTTTCTTTCATTAGTTACAGATTTTCACAGTTCTTGCAAGAAACTATACTGACCAGACTTTCTAATTCATTACAAGTGTTCCATTTTTACATTTTACAAGTACTCAAAGTATTTATCTAAAAGATACATACATACCACCTACTCCTTTGCCATCAGAGGCATCACCAACTACAGAAACATATTTCTTATGCTAGCATTTCTCCTGCTACACTACTTATACATCAGTTCTCAGACAACTAAGACTCTACTGTGCTAAGAATGTATTACTTCTAGTTTAGTAAGACTTCATACACAAATGGCATGTAGTAAAAATCATTTTTTACATTGAGATAACACATTTATCATTTTCCAGCAAGGACATGGTTTCTAATTCCCAAGCTCTGTCCTACCCTTCCTGAAAATTTGCTTTTGAGGTTTTTCCTCCTATTTTGTATGATACCTAGAGACTGTCATGACACTTTCAAACATATTAAAAAAAAAAAAAAAGAAGCCAACAGCATTACAGAAAGATACACTTAGCATATTACAGATGTCAGTTTACCTTCTGCAAGCGAATCTTCCCATAGGCAAATTTGGATGTTGTTGGAGGGATAAGACCTTCTGGTAACTGGTTATACTAGGAAGAGAAGGAGGGAAAAAAATACATAAAACTTAAATATAAACATGTCTTAACTGAATTCTTGCTTTTCATTTTACAACTTATGGAAGTAGAGCTTAAGCTGAAAGTAGTTCCACTGTGCTAGTGGATTACACTGGCACCCAGTTTCAGAGGGAGGCTTCACAAAGAAACAGTCTGATTGCAGTAAATACAGGGTTGGGGGTTTTTTTGCAAATACTGAACTCGAGGTAACAATGTAAAAAATAAAAAAGCAAAACCCTCCAAAATGAAAAAGCAAAGTAAGAAGCTGTCACAGCATCACAGCGTTCTTGGAGCCCTCCTGTGGCTATAGCGTGCATTACCATCTCATTACCTTCTGGGCAGGTTTCTTTCATGAATACTTGTGAAAACCTCACAGCCAGTGGAAAATAACTTTGTTAGCTGCTACTAGGCTGCTGGGCAACCTCTAAACCCTAGTGGCTCACTGACAAAAGGAGGCTGGAGAAAAACTTAGATTAGCAGGAAGCTAATATAGAAACAAACGTGGAAGTGATGGACACTCTTGAAAAGAGGTAAATCTAGACAACTGATCTAGACTCTGCCACACACTGTAGCCCCCCTTCTTTCTCAGCCTACAACCTTCTTACCTTCTTCCCATACCATCTCTCTCTCTCTCTTCCCATTATTTATTCTTTGCTTTATGTCCACTTTTCCTACCTATTCTTTCATTTATTCAAAGGGCATTCTCTGTTGGGATTTTGATTTTAATTTGGAAGGTTTTGCACAAAATATGATTTGTTGGCCTTAACATGGTACATGCAACATAAAACTAATGCTCAAAAGCTTTCTCTCACCAAGACAACCTATTGTTTGTTTAGTTGGTCTGATTGCTTTTTAAACAAATAGCAGTATAATTTCTAGTATCTCTATGCCAAACTCAACTAAAAACTAATTAAAACTAATTGATATCACTGTAACTGTTTTGTGTCTTCCTCTTTGTATTTGAAAATAATCAAAACAGTCTTAAAAACAAACAAAAAAATGACATTACACTAAAATCAAACAAAAACTATATTTGCCAAGAAAAGAAGAGTAGAAAATTTTAGCCCAAATGGTAAAAATACAGCCAGCAACTGAAAGAATTTTTGGACTGAAACTCTTCCCTTTTACTGCATTTATTAACTGAAACCAACTGTGTAAGACTCAAGATTAAAATAGGTTAGCCTTGTAGCACAGATAATGTTTTGAAAGCAGTTGTTAGTTATTGTCAATTTCATTTTCTTTCATCAACATCAGTACAACCTGCACTGAGTAGACATATTATTTCAAGGTGAGAAGGCATAGCAGAGACAGAAAGCCTTCACCAAGATTCTATGGATATAGAAGAGAGAAACCGCGCCAAAAAAGCTGTACGATGACCTTACACATCTTTACTTACACTGATTTGATCAAGACTACCTCACAGCACAGGAACACTACTTACATTTCTCATAGAGATCTTGCCTTGAAGAAAATAACTCAAAAACAAGAAGCTTGGGTATCTTTCTCTTGAGAAAAAGCTGTATCTAGCCTAAGATACAAAGGACTCAAAAGACTATCAAAATTATCCCATCAGTGTAAAGCTGAGCAATAATGAAGAAAGAAAACATTCCACACCAGGCCTTCTACAGGTGGGGAGATAAAGGCATGCTTTACTCTGAACACAATATAACTTCAGCAGACCTACTCTCAACCAAAAGTGTCTCCTAAAGAATAGGAATGCTTTGACATGCAATAGGGAGAGATGAGAGTACAAGTTTCAGGATTCCCAGGGACTTTGTCTTTAAGCCTTTCCTGAATGGCCTCCAATGCAAGTCTATTCAAAATCCAGATACAGGTTCCATATTTCACTCCATGCTTCTGTTTGTAGAGATCCTAGTCACTTCAAAACATTTTTATAGCAAAGGCAAAGTTGGTCCCACCCATGATCTACAGTTTGTGGCATCTCTAAAGCAAGATGCATTCTCTTGTGTAATCATGCTCCTACTTACAAGACCCAAAAGAACAGCACGAAGTACAGGAGACAGACAGACAAAGCATAGAGCTGCAGTGCTATCAGGCCAACATCAAGTGACCAGCTTGAGCCAACTGAGTGCCTAATCAACACAGCAAGGGAAAACTATTCATCTGTCTTCCATCTCTACTCCCAGACAAATGCTTCTCGTGTCCCTCTGCTCCCTTTCTGCCAGCATCCCTCTGGATCCACTGAGACAATTCAGCTTACTGATCTCAAACTGAAAGAAAACAAATCCAGCAAAAAAGCAGAGGTGCATCATCTCAGTGTCACACCTGCAACTGTATCTCCTTTGAAAATAAGGAGAGAATCTTTGGAACAGCAGGAAAATAGAGAGGTGAAACTCCTTTTTCACAAGGGATTGGGTTGGCCTAGTGATCTTGTTCTAACTCACTGCTTTTTCCTGCAGAAAACAGTAATCAACACAAGAGCAAGAGTATGCAGACCTGGGATATCTCAAAGAACCATTCTAAACATGTACTAGGGATACTCACCATACCAATGACCTCCCTCAAAGCAAAATATTTTTCAGTCAGATCCCCTGCTTCACTTAGTGGAGCATCGTAGTCATAACTAGTGGGTTGTGACATATAAGGCATATTAGCACCTAAAAAGAAGTCAGGAAGAAACAATTAATAAAAATGGTGAAAGAATTGTGTTTTTCTCTCCCAAGGGGATCAACTTTCAGAATTTCTCTCCAAACACAGCCCATCTGTGTACTTTTTACTTTAGATTCAATGTAGACTTTGGTGTTTGGGATTCAGCACTGAGAATATATTCCTTACGGAGAACAACATCCTTCTGAGCTCACATTGCTGTGATAATGTCTTTAGAAATATCCTGAAGAGAAGCAAATTTATTCATGTTTCAATTGCTTCACAGCACTGAGTAAAGCAAAAGTACCCTTTGCAAAGGTGAAATACCATGTGTTTAGCAGAAAATGCTGGCAATAGCCAGAGAACTGCGAATGCAATCATCTTTTGCCATGTGAAGGCAGGCACAGCTTACATTTTTACAGAACATGTCACTAGAAGTGGGTCCATATGAACCAAATGAGGCTCAACAAGGCCAAATGCAAGATGTTGCACTTGGGCCAGGGCAATCCCAGGTATTTATACGAACTAGGGGAAGAGCTCACTGAGAGCAGCCCTGTGGAGAAGGACTTGGGGTCCTGGTAGACATGAGCCAGCAGCGTGCACTTGCAGCCCAGAAGGCCAACTATATCCTGGGCTACATTAAAAAAAGAAGTGGCCAGCAGGGAGAGGGAGGTGATTGTCCCCCTCTACTCAGCTCTTGTGAGGCTCCATCTGGAGTACTGTGTCTAGCATAAGAAGGACGTGGAGCTCTTGGAGCGGATCCAGAGAAGGGCTACTAAGATGATCAGAGGGCTGGAGTACCTCTCCTGTGAAAAAAGGTTGAGGAAACTGCGCTTGTTTAGCTTGGAGAAGAGAAGGCTCCAGGAAGACCTCATTGTGGCCTTCCAGTACTTGAAGGGAGCATATAAACAGGAGGGGAAATGGCTGTTTACATGGGGTTGATAGCAGTAAGACAAAGGGGAATGGTTTTAAACTGAGACAGTGGGGGTCAGGTTAAATATTATGAGGAAGTTTTTCACACAGAGGGCGGTGAAGCACTGGAACAGGTTGCCCAAGGAGGCTGTGGATGCCCCATCCCTGAAGGCATTCAAGACCAGGCTGGACGTGGCTGGTCTGGTGGATGGTGACCCTGCACATAGCAGGGGGGTTGAAACTAGATGATCATCGTGGACGTTTTCAACCCAGACCATTCTATGATTCTGTTTAACACATAAGCAGCTCTACTCTATCATAAGATTAATTTAAATAATTTCTTACCATTCCAGTAGGCAAAGTTAGTTCCACCTATAAACATGTACCTAAAACAAATCAAAACAAGAAAAGCCACCATTTTAATCAGGTTTTGAAGAAATGAGGGAAAAAAGAAAAATCACCCCAAATTACCCTTCACTGAAGGCACACTTACAGGTTAACATTAGCACCACGTGCCAGGATTTCATTAAGTGTTTTAGCTATAGTTTGTGAGGGTACAACAACGTGACGGTGCCCCCAGTGATCCAGCCATCCAGTATAAAACTCAGAATTAACCTGAAAGGAGGAAGGGAAAAATATGAAGAGGGTGCAAGAACAGAATGCAACACGACTTGGGTTACTAGCTGTAAGAGAGAATGAAAAAAGGTACCTTGAACCATTTTAACTATTTTTAAACTTTATAAATACAGCAGAGTATACATTTAAATCAGTCTTTTTTAGTAGGTGACTCAAAGAGACTAAACTATCTTTCCAATAATTTTGTACATGCACTTTGAAAATCATTGCTTAAGTACTAAAGAACACAGATTTCCTTAGAACCTGTCAAACTTAATGTTTCAGATAGTTGGCATAAAAATAAATGATGGAACAAATTCTCTGCAGAGTTTGTAGATTATATTAGATGCAATGAAAAATAAATCTTCCAAACACTCAAGTAGCATCCCAAATGATTTTACAGCACAGAAGCAGTTCCCTTAAAGGGTCTTCTCTTTTGTCAAAATGGCTTCCAGTAATCTCACATCCCATTATAGGTTGTGTAGAAGCTCTAGAGTAGCTGAAAACAGGAAGCAACATTTAATCTACCCTTTTAATGTTGCCTTTAACTTCCACCCACCCACATTCATGACTAATGCATCTAATCATACTGTTTCCGCTGCTATGTAAACATTTGTCTTTATAAGGAAAAATACTGAAAATTGGTATCTCCTGGGACCAAAAGAATATCTGCAGAACACTTAATGTGGATTTGACAAACACACAGAAGCTCCTCTGTTCAGCTTTTCTGACTGATTTAGAAATGACATCTCTGTAAACATTCCTGAGAAACTGTTGTCAACTCATCTGTTGTTAACCACTAAGATTAGGAATGATATAAGAATGTAAATTAAAAGACATACCAAAGGGCCTGTAGGTTCACTGCTCCTCTGAGCTAAGAATGCTGCTGTGACGTTTCCACCTATTAAAAGAAGATTGAGTTGCAATATCCTCAACTTATTCCAGTAAAAAAAGAACTGAAAAAGTGCCATACCTCCTTTCCAACATCTAGTAAAAACATAAACAAGAAACTTTGGAGAATGTAGGAATGAACATGCTTCATTGTAGTGCTTAAGTTGCAGAACTTATTTAAAATGCACACATGAATTCATGCATGTATGCATGCATATCTCTGTTTTTGAGGTACATCCTCTGAAAACCCAGCTCTTCTCACGAATGACATATTGGCTCCAAAAACCCTGAGATGTGTCAGAATTACTACTCAGTCATTGGAACTGTCAGCCTGTGATTGTGGTAGCAAGAGGATGGGGAAGAACAGTCTTCCTCTCTCAGGCAGTTTGTAAAAAGGAGTTTCACTTCTGAGCAATCCTAGTGGCTTAAAACACAGGAAACAGAAATAACTACTCATGAGCAGCTCATTCTCATCATGAAAGATACACGTGAAGGAGTTCTTGGTTTCAATCCATTTATAAAAAATGAATTTCTACTAGGAGTGTATGTTTGACTATAAAGAGAATAACATACATAAAAAGTCACAAATACAAAATAAACTGGAAAGATCCATCTTTGAATTTGTTTCTTGTGCTTTAAGCCTATTTTGCAAATCTGTGCAGAATATGAGTGTTCACAGCCTCAACTTCCCTCTTCCATCAAATGGACACTTTCCAAACACACTGTGGTTGCTTGATCATTCTTCAGACCTGTGTCACAGCAAATTGTGGCAGTGTGCACATTTTATTTTAATTTTGGTAACAAACAGCTGTCCAACCTGGGGCAAAGTCTACTGTCGCATAAAGACCCTGAAGAGCTCCACATTTCAAATGAAACTGGCTTGCACCATCAGTTGTGAACAGCACCACCTCATCCCCAAGATGCTGGCGAAAGATCTTCAGGAGGGAACGCAGATAGTCATAGTCACAAGCAAAGTAGCTTCCATACTCATTCTCCACCTGCACAGCAAAAACAAGTCAGCAGAGCAGTAAGTAGCGAATTCCAGGTTGCATCTAACGCCCAAAATTGGAAGTTCAAATGCAAGACTCTTCTTCCTTTGAAAGAAATGCTGAAAATACCATTTAGAATTCCAGAAACGAAGAATAACAGAAAGGAACACTTATAGGCACTCCTCACCGGCATCTCATGCTGCAGCAATCACTGCAAGGAGATTAAAATAAGCAGCTCAAAGCTTTTGCTACAGTCAAATACTAAGAAAATTGAACAAGCACTCCTACATATTTAATAATTTAAGAGAAAATACATACCAACAATGCACAGCACTGTACCCTGAAACATTTACAGCTCAAATCAGGTGATCAAAACAAAAAAGTCTAAATTTTTAAGCTCTTCTGGATAAAAGTTTGAGGCTTATTTCATACTGCTCTTGCTCCTATCTGCAGCAAATCCTCCCATCAGAAGAGTTTAGGTAACCATAACGTATTTTGGCTTGATGTGAGAATTGGCATAAACCTCAGATCTAAAAAAGCTCCATAAGCTTGCATTATTGTTTTCCATAGTTTTGGGAACAACTGTGATGGAGCACTCTGAATTTTGCAGACAGTACCTTCAGTTCTTTAGAATAAGAGACTCCAATGAATCTTCCAGCTACCTTAAACTGTTAAGAAACTTTTTTGTACCTTACTAGCCAACACTTATGGAGCATCCACAAGAACAATATATGCATCCACACTGCTTGCATTTATTTGTTTTTCTGATAGTTACCTGTACCATGATGATTGGACCTCCATTTTGATAGAGGTGAGGCTTCATCTTTGGCAAGAGGACCCCCATCCATTTCTCCACTGCTGTCAGGTAATCTGTAATGCATAAAGTGTAAATGGTTCACAACTTCTCTGCTTTTCTCTGTCTTTTTTGTTTGTTTCTTTGTTTTACTGTATGTGTAGTTTTTACCATGTAAAACAGATAGATGTAAATAAATATAAATTTCTAAATATTAAAGTATATCAGAATGCCACTTAATGAACTGACGTGTCCTTACACTCATTCAAAAATGTCAGCTTCCACTACAGTTTACTAAATAATAAAACATGAAATACTGATGAACTTTGAAGAACACCAGAGGCTTCAATGTGTCTCACACAAGTTGTTCTAATGCATTTCAACAAGTGTTTCCATCTGTACTATTTTTATTTTTTTTTAAATAGATAGCTTCTCTCACAACGAGCAGAACTAAAGTCAGGTACGATATGGATCTACATCTTTGTCCCAGATCCCCTCTCCGATATCCTGTCTCACCTCATGTCTATAAATCCTGTCCAGGACATTAAGAGTGCTGCATTTAGCTCCAGAATTTCATGCACACCGATCAGCTAGGAAGAATTCCCACAGTGAGTGGCCAGTTGTAAAATCAAGAGAAAAAAAGTCAAAGCTGAGAGCTACTTGCCATTTCTTTAATGATGACAATAAATTTTTTACTTGGTACCAGTTTGATGAAACTTGTCAACAGCTTTGAAACTTGTAACAGTTTTAAATTTAACTGCAACTGATGGTTGTTTAAGAAGTTCTTAACAAAAGGTTTCTGGAGCAAAGAGACAGGGTGGTTCCACCGTGACTTTTTTTTTTTTTTTTTTTAATTATTTCAGTCATTTTCTTAGAAAATCAACTTCTGAAAATAAAATAAACAAGCCAAAAAAAAAAAAAAAAAAACACCCACAAATTCTAGGGCATGCATCCACCTTAAGGACTCAGCCTGTAATTCCTGAAATGACAGAAGGTGCATGATTTTCAATCCCTCCTTGTTTGCTATATATATTTATTGAGTGCATAGTTTTTAACAGAAATATGTGAATATGAATTACCTGGAAATAACCTCAAACAGTAAGCCACCTTGTTGCTGAAGAATATTTTTGCCAGATATTTCTGATGCCCTTACCTGAATCAGAAGATCTCAGAACAATAGATTCCTTCTCCAACAGCCATGCAGGAAGACCACCCTGGGAAAAGAATTGGAAGCATTTCAGCGACCTCTTTCAGGAAATAAGAGGAAGTTAGTCTATTATCAAAACATATACTGAACTTGTAGATTTATTTTTATATAAGCAAAACAACTATTACTTAAGTTCACACTGTAGAAAGTCAGAATATGTTGGTTTAAATACAGTGAACCAGAAGTCTTTTTGAGGATACATCAAGTTCCCTTGTCTACTCTAAGACAGAAATCCTTGCATTGTATTTACCCTACAAACAAAGTAACTGTTACAAAAGGCTGTACCATGTCCCATTCTGCACAGATGTAAGGTCCAGCTCTTAGGATCACCAGCAAGCCAGTTTCACTAGCAAGCTGCAGGAAATGCTCCAGATCTCTGTCACCAGAAAAATCATACACGCCCATCTGGGTTTCATGGTAGTTCCATGGTACATACCTATCAAGAGAGGAGATAATCTGACATTAGGAAAATAATAGAGCCCTATTTCAATGCAGTAATAAAACTGCCAAACAAGCAGATCAACATTTGCCACACTTCTCTCCTACTTCCAGAACGTAGGAAACTGCCACCACATCACAGAATCTCTCCCAGAAGACGAAAGAAAAAAAAAACAAACAATCTCTTGATTGCAGAGTAATAAAGATATTTGTTACCTACCAACTATTACAAGCACTGTTGTAGCTTACAGCCCATGCAGAACAACCACGAGTTGTCTCTTAGCCCAGCGCTAAGTGGCAGCTGTAGCAGAGGCAGACATTAAAATCAGAGATTGATAAAGCCTAGATAAGGATTTGAGAGAACAGGAAAACTCGTTCTCCATGCATTTACTTTTTGCACGTAGGTTTGTGATTCCTCTAATAGAAGTGGTGCCACTGTTCCAGAGTACAAATTTGAGAAAGCGTGTAAAACCGAAACTGTGGTTAGCCAAGCAAAGAGCCTCTCCAGCAACACCTCTGTTGCTTGGGTTTGTTTTCATGCTCAGTGTTAACCTGGTAAGAACTACCCCAACAGGAAAAGAGAATGTAGAAAACATTGCTTTCAATAACAAAGAAAAAATAGGAACCCTCACATGAACACATTTATTTCAATCACCTGTGATCATACTGGAATCGGAAATACATGCAAATGAACAGATTAAAAAAAAAAAGCAATATGATAATGCTTCAGAAATGGTAGTTAGTTTTATTTCCTCACAAATGCCAAACTGCAAATCTCTGTTTGAAAAGCAAAAGCTTAAAATTTGTATGCCAGGATAGAGTCCAAGCAACATATTCAACAGACGGCAAAATGCAGATTTTCCTCCCTCTGCTATATATTTTATTTCTTTGTCAATCTGATGTAACTGCTTCCAAAGTGCTCAATTAACTCACTTGTTAGAACAAAGCACACACGTATTTGGTGAATATGTAAACCACACTAAAATACATTAATTGTTAATTTGGTTTTATGTATTTTGCCTGTGTTTCAAGCAGAGAAGCAAGCTGTTCAGAGATGGTTAAAAATCAAAGTAGATAAAGTAAATTACTATTTAAAAAAACCAACATACCTCAAAAAGGCCAATACAGTAGAGTACCATACTGTGCTTACTTTCCCTTTTCAATATATCTTTATCCTGATTACCACTGCAGAAATAACTTGAGTTTGCTTTAAGCACTAACAGCTACGTTACTGTCAGAACTATTCTTCTGTATTACATGTATGTGGCTCGAGATGATATCTTCCTTACAAAAAAAGAAAGGGAATAGCAGGAAAGAATATTATAGAAAATAACATGCCAATTTAACTCCAAGCTTAGGAAAGGTACCAGAAAAGCTACCGCATGATTCATGTCATGATGTGATTAAAAAAAGAAACACAACCAACTAGATTTGCCAAGAACAGATACATCTAGTTTCATTCTTTCAAAGTAACACTGGCCTAAACAGCTAGGGAAGAGAAAAAAATAAAAATAAAATGATGTCTCTTGACTTAGCAAGGCTTTTGGTAGCGTGATGGATGACATTCCTAGAAGCAAACAAGCAAAAAAAACAAAAACAGGGAAGTTGATATAACATTAACAAAGAACAAAAATTAACTGAAGCATAAGAACCACGAATTCTTTGGGAAGGCAGCAGGCTATTTTGAGAAATATGTCATGTTTCTTTGTTAAGTCATGCTATATCCAAAGCTTTTGTTGCCATCTGATTGGCAAAGGTGGGGCAGGTGGAAGTCCATCAGCAATCATGTTCAAGTTTCTACATGTTCGTAATTAATCAGCAACATGGCCTGATATCAACATGGAAATTAAGAGTTATCACTTTCTTCTTCTCCCTTGCAAAGGCAAAGATAAAAATTTAGAATGAAAAGGACATATGACATTAACAGAAGGAAAAAAGGTGTGTAGGTTCTACTGTAAATTACCACATGATTACAAATCATCAGCACTGCAAAAGAGACAACTCTATCTGGGTTATATTAACAGGCATGCTTATGCAGCAATCCATTCCCTGAACAAATACCCCTGTTTGAGCTAAATAAAGATGACTTGGTATTAACTTCACTGTAATTTTCTCATTGTCTGAAAGAGTGCTACAGAAAGACAATAATTGCTTGTAGTCCTTTCTTCTCAAGCTGCCCCATAAGCTATTCCTACTGATAAGGAAATTATAGGTTCATGTAAGAAAAGCATTCTAACTGTAATTTAGCTACACCTTGAAACCTGTTATTTATGAAAATATGCTGCTTGGAGGGTTTTAGGAACTTGTTCTGGTAATAAATCTGAACACCTAACATAGTGAGATGGGGATGAGGGTTTCACAAGATCCCTTATAGTCAGAATGGAAAAAAGTTAAAAAGTTCTTCCAGACACAATTTTATGTCCCAAAGTTTGATTTTTTTTTTAATATATATATTTATATTTATACTTTTATATATAAAGCGCCTATCACCTGATTGATAAACATTCTTTGGAACCATTTTGATGGCAGGGGTAAGGACAGGAGTCAGCCTGTCAGTACCTCAGCATTTCTGTTTCCAACCAATTGAAAAAAAAAATTAAAATAAAAGCCACAATTTTATGCCTCACAAGGCTAAAAAAAAAAAATTAGTAAAGAAAGTTAAGAGGAAAATGTATTTGAAATGCTTTCTTATTTGAAATTCATTTCTTAAAAAATGAATGATAATATAAAAGCATCTTTGACTGCTTTAAAAATTCTAATACACTCAAATCCGTGAATTTATTTTCTGCAGCTAGCAATGACTTCAAATCATTTAACTAATAATGACATTTAATCTCCACTTACATACAATTTGTAAGCTTTAGCCCATAACCTTTTTCTTTGAAACTTTTCTCTGCTATTTCAGAGATACATCAATAGGCAAAACAACAACAGTTCTGCCACTGCAAAACACAGTATAATTCTCTCTGTAATACTTGTGTTGTGTTTCCCCCCTCCCCTTTATAAAATTAAACAGCTTGTACTGCTTTCATAAGTAACAAAACAGCACTTTACACATACTAGTTGAATTACATGAGTTTTAGAAAAAGCAAACTGTGGGTTTTTTTTTTTTTCATGGAACACTAAGTATTGGAAAAAACTTCTAAGATTATCTAATCTAACAGTCTACCCATCATCACCATGCCCACTACTCACATTGCTCAGGGCCACTTCCACACACTTACTGAACCGCCAGAGCCAATGATTCCACCATCTCCCTGGGAAGCCTATTCCAGTGCCTTACCATTCTTTTGGAGAACAAATGTTTCCTAACATCCAACCTGAGCCTCGCCTGGTGCAACTTGAGGCCATTCTCTCTAGCGATATCAGTTTCACCTGGGAGAAGAGGCTGCCCCCCCCCCCCCCCCCCCCCCACTCCTCCACCTGCTGCAACCTCCTTTCAGGTGTTTGTAGAGAGCGATCAGGTCTCTTCCAAACCTCCTTTTCTCCAGACTGAACAATCCCAGCTCCCTTAGCCATTCCTCATAAAACTTGTGCTATAGACCCTTCACAGCTTCAGTGCCCTTCACTGGACATGCTCCAAGGTCTCAATGTCCTTCTTGTAGTGAGGGGCCCAAAACTGAACACAGTACTTGAGATACAGCCTTACTAGAGCTAAGTACAAAGGGATGATCATTTACCTACTCCTGCTGGCCACACTAGTTCTGATACAAGCCAGGATGCCATTGGCCTTTCAGGACACACTGCTGGCTCATGTTCAGCTGGCTGTCAACTAGCACTCCCAGATCCTTTTCTGGCATGTGCATTTTAGGTCACTCTGCCCAAAGCCTGTAGTGTTGCCTGGGGTTGCTGCGACTGAAGTCCATGACCTGCCTGGCACTTCATCCTGTCGAACCTCTTACAGCAAGCCTCAGCCCATCAATCCAGACAATCCAGTCCCCTCTGTTGAGCCTTCCTACCCTCAAGCAACTCAATACTTCTTCCCAACTTAGTGTTATCGGCCAACACACTGAAGACGCACTCAATCCCCTTGTCTAGATCATCAATAAAGATCCATCTGGTCACCAGCTGGATTTAACTCCATTCACCACCACTCTGTGGGCCCAGCCACTCAGGCAGTTTTTCACACAGCTATGAGTACCTCTGTCCAAGCCATGGGCTGCCAGTTTCTCCAAGAGAATAGTGTGGGAAAGAGTCAAAGGCCTTACTAAAATCTAGTACAGTCTAGGATACCCACAGCCTTCCTTCATCCACTAGGTGGGTCACTTGGTCATAGAATGAGATGAGGTTGGTCAAGCAGGACCTGCATTTCACTAACTTATGATGGCTAGGCCTAATCACCTGCCTGTCTCTCACATGCTGTGTGCTCGCTCTCAAAACGATCTGCTTCAAGACCCTTCCCAATACTGAGGTCAGGCTGGCAGGTTAGTAGTTCCCTGGATCCTCCTTCTACAAGGATGTCTCTCCAGTTATCTGGGACTAGTCTGACCAGGACTGCCAACAAACAGCAGAAAGTGGCTTAGCAAACACTTCCACTAGCTCCTTTAGTACCCTCTGGTAGATCCCACCCGGCCCCTTAAATCTGTGATAGTCTAGGTGGAGTAGTAGGTTGCTGTTTCCTTCTGAATTACTGGGTTTTATTCTGCTCCCCATCCTAGTCTTCCAGCTCAGAAGGCTGAGAACCCTGCAGATAAGTCATCTGACTGCTAAAGGCAGAAGCAAAGAGGGCACTGAGTACCCCAGCCTTTTCCTCCTGCTTGGTGGTAACGTTCCGTGCTGCATCCCATGAACGGGAATCTCCTTGGTTCCTCTTTTTTAATGCAAAGATATTCTAAACAGCAGTTCTTTCCTACATGGAATTTCTACAGGTGTTTTCCTTTCCTAATAAATACATTTCTTTGAACTTTTAAGTAACTGCTAATTCTTCCACGAAATTTCTCAGTTTCTACAGTCCTGTAAATGTTTAGCTCCATCTAGTGGTTAATTGTTTATCTCCTCCATTGTAAAACCTACAACTTTCAGTTCTACCCATGTTTGTGACTGTACCCATTTCTAGTTCACATATCATAGTTCAGTAACTGAAAACAAGGACAATTACAGTTGGGTGACCAGATGTCTCTGCAAGTAGCATGCAGAGGGGAGCAGAGAGGGGGTTCCTAGGCATAATACCTCATCTTCTGGGATGTCACACCACATAATCAGATTTCATTCTGCTATTTGGAAGGGTTAGATGTCAATATTTTCAGCTTTAACGTAAAGTCAGGCTTCCTACAATATTCTCAAATGATCTCATATCCTGTTACTGCTTAAAATATTCAGGTCTAGAGGAGGGCAACAAAGATGATCAGAGGGTTGAAGCACCTCTCCAATAAGACAGGCTGAAGGAGCTAGCAGGCTAAGAGAGTTGGGTTTGTTCAGACCATAGAAGAGAAGTCTCTGGGGAGACCTGATTGTGGCCTTTCAGTACCTAAATGGGCCTACAGGAGAGTTGGAGAGGCACTCCCTCTGGTGGAGGTAGGTATGGGACAAGAGCTGTTATAAACTAATAGAGGGTAGATTTACATTAGATGCTGGAAATAAATTCTTCACAAAGAGGATGATGAGGCAGTGGAACAGGTTGCCCAGAGAAGCTGTGGATGTCCCAGCCCCAGAAGAGTTCAAGACCAGGTAGGATGGAATAACACCAACCAGTGAAAGACTTAAAAGGTAGCTCAAACATAGGGCGCCCTATAGCCACATTCTGCCAGAACATCTGGCAATGCTGCTGCCTATCCCAGAATGATTTCATGCAACTAGTATCTCAGTCTCTTGCTAACACTTTCACTTATCCCCAGAACAGTAAGCAGGAAAAGAAAAAGACAGAAACACAACTGAATAATAATCATTTTATTCAAAATACACAAAATCGCAGCAGAGCTATTTGGAGTAATGTGGAAATTTATAGCTTCATATCAAATAATCAAGAGCTGTACAGCTTGATTCTATCTTCAAGCACAGCCAAAAAACATCTTTATTTTTTTAAGAGAGGGGTAGAGAGAAATTAGTGTCAATTAGTGTCAAGATTCATGTATTTGATTCTTATAGAATATGCAGGGCTCTGAGGTACCTTTTGTCTGTAAGATATACATTTGAGACCTATTTTCACCACAGCATAAAAAAAATCCATAGGTAAGTAATGTTGGGAGAAAAATACAAATAAATTCCAAACTGTTGTATAGTGGAAAGGAGGTTGTGATAAGCCTTTTTCCCCCTGTAATTAATGATCCACTAAAAACAGCGAAGGCTGCAGCAAGTCACATTTTCTCAAGGAAGCAGCTGTATCATATCTTTTGTACCTGAACATAAACAATCCTGAAGACCCTAACACCAAGAGGCCAGTCCTTCCTGTATACCAGAAGTATGCTTTGAATAAAGCACAGGAATAAAAGATTCCAACAAGCAAAAAAATGGGGAAAATGGAAGAGGGAAGAACCCAAAAGTACCACCCCAAACACTTGTGTTAGAGTTCATGAGAGGAAGAAGAAGGAAGCAATGAAAAAAGCAATAGGAAAAAAAACAGAAGGAAGAAACTGCTTGAAAAAACTGGAAAAGAAGTGAGGGCACTGAAGGTGTTTGGGGGTTAGCAGTAAGATGAAAATAAATCCAAGAACTAAGGAAGTATAACATACTTTGGGTCATAGGACTTACAGAGCCACTGTTAGGACCTAGGCTAATCTTCAAACCAGATGTCAGATGATATAATTTTCAGGTCTGTTTGAGAGTACCTTTATTGCAGTAAAAAAATATTCACATGGGCATTTCCTGCAACTCTGTCCTGAGATTCCTGAGCAAGTGTGTTATTTAATCCAGTCGTTCATTTATGTGGGAAGACAGAATGCGCTTACTTGGTTTAATCAAAATGAAGAAACAAAGTCACCACATTATCACAACACAGTGAAGTTTTATGAGGAGGAAAAAAAAAAAAAAAGCTACAAGTGAAAAACAAAAAATAAGAAAAAAACCACCCTACCTTCTTTTCCTTCCTTGCCACCTCTCCAGCTCTTCTTCACATACCAACCCTTGCTAATCAAACTACTAAGTGTACAAAGTAGCCCTGAAACTCACAGAGTAAACAAGACACAGATTTTCGGAGAGAAAAAGCAGAGTGCTCCCACTGAACAAACCACCCCAAACAGGCTCTGTGCTGCCAAAGCCAACATTGTTCAATGGCCCACAGCAAAAAAGGAGACAGTTTTAAAGACATGCTCCAAGCCCTGTAATGGTTTAAGAAAGAAATAAAACCACGCATGGTAATTGAAACCATCACTTGAAAAGACTGTGCATATTCACTTTTCTGCCACTCCTCTTTCCTTGCCATGAAAGAGAGAGGACATGGAGTGAAGGCTTGGTAGACACAACTGACTGCTGAGTTTGTTTTTGTTGTTTTTTCTGTTTGTTTGGTGTTTTTTGTTTGTTTTTTTTAAGTACTGCTCTTATTTCACAGCTATCTCCCTAAATTTAAACACTCCTGGTGAAATAGCTATACATATTTCTACAACCTCTCCCTAAATTTTCAAGACTTCAGGGCAACACAGTCTAAACTGTAATTAAGACTTTACTGTCACCTCTCACCTAGCCTGCCCCTGAACACGAGATCATGATGTCCTTTGGCAGATGACAGGATTATCTGTTTCTTAGTTGCCAAAGTTCACAGTCCAACTATTTGTTTCAGGTCACATTTGTATCCTGGATTGTGAAGCAGTAAGCACTGCTGAATAGCAAAGAAGCAGACTATTAGCAGCTATCATCCCAGACCATGCTAAGGTGATCACACCATGTTCCACTTTTCATTTCAAGAGATTTCTCAGCTACTACTTAAAAAACAAACTATTTAATTTAAAAAGTAACAACGGCAACATTCCCCCATCACTACTTCTTTTGGGTCTCCCAGGACTACAAATGATTTTGAAAATCAGCAGCTACTTACGTTTGAATTGCATCCAGCCCAGCCATCTTCATCTTCAAGAGGCGGTCTTTCCAGTAATACCGGGGCACCCGGGAATAGTGAATGCTGCCAGAGATGTAACGGAAAGGGCGCCCATCCTTGACAAAGCAGTTGCAGCCATAATCAATCCCAAAAGTCTTCTGCGGTATATTCTGCGTACAAACAAAAGGAAAGCTTTAAAAGTTATGCAATGTAAACTTTTTCTGTTATGAGAGACATGAAGAACAGTCCACCACTACACAAAAAGATACCACGTGTATTCTCCACTTTCAGCAATTGAGTGCACAGTGCTATCTTTACACAGTAACACGTTTTGCAGTGCAAGTGATGACCAATTCGATAGGGGAGGTTTACCAATTTGTGGAGTGCCAACACACTTCACTCACTGAGGTTTTGGAAAATACAACTGATTCCCAACTCAGTGTCACACTAGAAACAAAAGCCAATTGGGAGCTTTCGAGGAATAAATACCATGCTCTAAGTGCTCCATGGCACGGGTAGAAGCAGGACTGAAAGCTTATTTAGTAGTACATATATATCGTGATAGATCAGTCTAAAGAATTTACATATTGAAATAAATCAGTGAAGATCAGTCATTTTTAGAGACAGTCCTCCTTTCAATACTTTTCCTGCTAAGCACACCTAAATCATTTACCACACAGTAATTTTAAAAGGAGCAGGAAAATTCAGCACCTCTGAATCTGCACCTCTGACACAAAAGAAACATACTTTAACTTCAAGATCACTGGGATTACCCCTTAAGAGCCTAAATTCATTAGTACTCAAACTGCTGGGAACAACAGCAGTACTTCTTTTGTTTCAAGTAACTTGCGAAAAACAAAAAGGACAGGAAGACAGATTTTTATTAATTAAGTGCATGGCCCTATGCCTTTAAGAACCTTTAATTTTTATTTTTATAAACCCTACCATCTTGCATCTCACACTTTCATCACATATCTTTGGCAGTTCTGTCTCCAGTACCATTTCTGACCTTTCAGTACAGGTCAGTAGGGATTTATGAAGTGAAAATTAAGGTTAATAACTGTTAATCAGTTAGTTTCCTGTGCCTATCAGAAATATGTCAGAAGTCAAACCAACATAGCCCATATTTCATTGGACAATACACTACTATAAATAAAACACACCTTTTAATAGCATAAATTCAAATCTTTTATAGGGCACTGACTTGTTTTAATCCGGAACAGGTGAACCTTGGCCTACCTCACACAAAGAATGGAGTTTAACAATTAGCAAACTGACTGAATCATAGAATCACTCAGTTTGGAAAAGACTTTAAAGGTCATCAAGTCCAACCACAACCTAACCATACTACCCAAACTCTAACAACCCTGCACTAAACCATGTCCCTGAGCACCACATCCAAATGGTTTTTAAACACATGCAAGGATGGTGACTCAACCAGCTCCCTGCAGAGCCCATTTCAGTGCTTAACAACCCTTTCTGTAAAGAAGTTTTTCGTGATATCCAACCTAAACTTACCCTGGTGCAACTTGAGGCCATTTTCCCTCATCCTGTCACCAGTGAGAAGAGACCAGCCCTGCACTTGCTGCAATTGCCTTTGAGGTATTTGAAGAGAGCAATAAGGTCTTCCCTCAGCCTCCTTTTCTCCAGACTAAACAGCCCCAGGTCCTTCAGTTTCTCCTCATAGGCCACATTCTCCAAGCCCTTCACTAGCCTTGCTGCCCTTCTTTGGACCTGCTCCAACAGCTCAATGTCCTTTCTGTACTGAGGTACCCAAAACTGAATGCAGTACATGAGGTGAGGCCTCACCAGCGCCGAGTCCAGGGGCAGGATTCCTTCCCTAGTCCTGCTCACCACACCACTCCAGGATGCCACTGGTCTTCTTGGCCACCCGGGCACACTGCTGGCTCATATTCTGCTGACTGTCCATCAGTGCACCAAGGTCCCTTTCTGTCAGGCAGCTTTCCAGCCACTCCTCCCCAAGCCTGTAGGGCTGCCTGGGATTGTTGTGACCAAAATGCATGACCTGACGCTTGGCCCTACTGAAACTCATATAGTTTACTTTGGCCCATCAATCCAGTTTATCCAGGTCCCTCTTTAGGGCCTTTCAACCTCCTGGCAGATAAACACTTCCTCCCAGTTCAGTATCATCTGCAAACTGACAGAGGGTGCACTCAATGCCCTCATCAAGAACACTGATAAAGATATTGAATAGGAGTGGCCCCAGTACCGAGCCCTGCGGAACACCACACATGACTGGCTACCAACTGGATTTAACTCCATTGACCACAACTCTTTGGGCCCAGCCACCCAGCCAGCGTTTCACCCAGCAGAGCATATGCCCATCCAAACCCTGGGCAGTCAGCTTCTCCATGAAGATGTAGTGGGGGTCAGTGTCAAAGGCTTTACTGAAGTCCAGATAGAGGCTATTGACAGCCTTGCCTTCATTCACTAAGCTGGTCACCTTGTTATAGAATGTAATCAAACAGGATCTATCATTCGTAAACCCATGCTGACTGGTCTGATCCCTTGGTTGACCTTTCATTGATCCGTGATTGGATGAAGCCAAAGCGACGAAATCTGGGAGGCAACAGAGATGCCATCATACAACTCAAGGTGTCCCCCAACTGCACAAGAGCCAACCACTACCACACTATCACTGTATGCCCAAATGTTAAGTAGGGACCAACAGACTACAAAGTTTTGAAGAACTTTCCCATGCAACCACTTTTTTCCTGTTACCTGGTGAACAATTTCACTGTAAATCTGTACTACAGAAAAAGTGAAGTGAAAGGAATAAGTGACGTGCAATAGGCAGGTGTAAGCACAAGGGTGCAAACATCAAGACTCCTGACCAATAGCTGGACAACACTGCCAACCAAGAGTATATTCTTTATGCAACTGGACAGAATAAAGGAGTCAGTTTAATGTGTCACAGACCAAAAGGACAGGAGTACAAATAAAGGATAGGGTACAGAGTGAAAAACAAACAAAAGAAACCACCTACATTGCTAAAATCTGGAGGAAGAAATTACTGAGTAAACCTGCCTAACCCTAGACTGTCATTAAAAGGAGCAACTCAGTGTGATAACAGAACAAACATTAGAGGACTACAGACTCCAGGGAGGAGATAACTACAGTGTGTTGCAACTGTGATAAAGTCACAGTCCTCACAGTAAACCTGAAATAAAGTTGTAGAAAGCATCTTACATGCACACTGCATTCTGCAAACAGCAAACAAATGAAAGTGCTTGTTTCACACACAACAACAGAAAACATACAGTCCTGGGCTGGCAAGGCAAGAAGAACTGGAAGACTGAAGGGAGTGTAAAGCATCGCACATGATGACTGCGTGTGATTTCCTAAATATATACAGTGTTTTTAGTTTCACCTTCCAAATAGAACTAGGTAAGTCCTGGAAGTAAAGAAGGATGATTCCAGCAGCTGCTGCTCCCCTATGAGAGAGAATTCTAACCCCCTTACTCACACTATCCACAACAGGGCCTTTGGCAAAGACACTTCAGTGCTGAGACACTGCACAATGAACCCACAGCTCCATTTTCAGGGCACAGACATCTCCGGCAGCAAAAGAGGGATTTCTTAAAACAGAGAAAAGAAAGTATTCATTATGAAAGTGGTCACTGATTCAGTTACCATTTAAAGCTGCAAATGTAACTGTAAACCACCTTCTTTACGAGTATATAATATGAAAATATTATAATAAATATCTGTACATGGTATGATATGGTGGAGGCAGGGGGGAAGCTTCCCTGATACTTATTCTGATTTAACTCATTTATTGCCCACTGTAAATGGACTTCCCTGCATAATCATGCAGGACTTCTCTATTGTCTGCGCACGACTCTAGCCCTTCCTTACAGCTAGTGCAGGACTCATGACAAAAACAAATGACCATTAATTTGTCTGACTTGGTCAATATTCATGGTTGTGGATATATAGAAGAATATTCGGAATATTCTTCTGATAATATTCTGATATACAGAATAATATTCCCTGTTTGTTCATAGCAGATGGGGCAGCAAAGCTTCCACTTTGGTAAGCAAACTGACTACCAACTATTTTGGATCTTCATACCAAACCATAGTACCAGCCAGACAAAAATTCAAGCCCTCAGAGGCAATGGTATAAGGTTGCATCTTATACACTCATGTGCAAAACAGAGGAACCAGAGCATTCGTCCTTGCTTAAATCAAGTACTTTTGCAACCTTAATGCTTTTCCCATGTTTTCTAATGTGTACTTCTCTCGACTTAGGAAAAAAAAACAAATCATAGTTCTGGCACATCAATCTATCAGCCATTTAACAGATCCTAGAATCTCTCATTCTTCAAATTGATAGAACAGTGGAGGTTTTTTCCCCTCCTTATTTGGAAAAGTCAGTAACGTGAAATATAAATCCTCAGCAAACCCCTCCACATGTGACTATGTCTAGCATCTCTAATAATGACCATGCAAAACCAGAATAGCTCTTCCAGGGCTTTTTCTCCACCCAACAAGTGCATGCATCAAAACTGAGAACCACAAACCACTCCTGCTGCTCGCTTGCCAGGAAAACCCAGCACAACACACCCCCCAAAAAAACCAAACCCAACAACTCTACTCTTTCTCTACCATTATAGTGGTTCTTTTCTCTGCCTCTCATCCCCTTCAGCACATACACCTTCATAAAAGCAGGCACTGGGCAAGCTTAACAGTGACTTTACCTTTACCACTTTCATCTATGCCTCATTTAGCAGTGAGGGTGTCAGATTTTCCAAAACTAAGTCAGATTTACAGTCAGTTGTTTTTTGCTGGCAAAAATAGAATGAGAGTGTTAAAATTCTTCAGTGTGAACTGCTACAAGAAATACCAGTACAAAATAAATGGGCATTAAAGGCATTTTTCTTGCTAAGTAAATAAAGTTTTATTAAATTCCAACATTTAAAGCATTTGCTATGCAACAATTTACATATTTCCAAATCCACTTTCCACGGATCATATACTGTAATTAATATTATTCTGGTTTTATTCCGGCAGTGATTAACTCTGCCCCCATCCAATGCCCCAAATGAACTGGCCTACTGTAGGATGAAATATATATTCACTTAGTTAAGTTCTACAAATCAAATACATTCCACACACACAAAAATTACAACAGAATTTAAAAAATACAAAATAAGCAGCAAAAGTTTGAGTTTGGTTTGTTTTTTTCCATTTGAAATACTGAACACAGGTCTAAATCACACACACCGAAGTCAAATTGGAACATGCATACAGAAACCCTTGAAGGGCAATTAGGGATTTCTGTCTTTGAGGAATATTAGAAAGGGTTAATTCCTCATGCTACCGAAACCAAGACTGATCTAGGATACATCCCATATGTAATTAAAATAAAAAGACTAAAATAATGGAAGTGGGCTTTGAAGTGTTTTTTGGCACATTTTAAATGGTACTGATCATCAAGTAACCAAACTTTCAGAAGCAATTAAAGCAAACCAAACAAGAACTAAATTATACTGGCAGAACTCAATGCATTTCTGAAATGATAATATGACCATATCTGCTCCTGAGAGGATACATGGAGGAGTACACACACACACAAGTTACCTGTGCACCTTGGTGACAGCAGGATTGGTGCAGACAGGTTTCTGCATGCATTCGGGCAGAACGAAGAGAGAAATATAAAGCAGGGAAAACAAAATAAAAATCAGACTAGCAGCAACTCATTGGGAGAGCACCTAAAGACAGACCTACAAAAGCCTCCTGTTAAAGCAACCAGCAATTAGTCTTCTTAGCCCAGTAAAACTTAAATGAAAATCTGTACACCAGGACTGCTGGTCTAGAGGGAACATCCTACATTGCAGAATCCAGAGCAGAGCTTTTAAATGAAGGCATTTAGATAAACAGGCAGAGGGTTACAGGCTATCAAGATTCTCTCTACATAAGACCATTTTACATGATGCCACTGATGGGAAAGAATCCTGAAAGACAGAGCATGGGCAGGGGGAAGTATTAAATACATGTGAAAGCTTCTGAAAACTTAAACAGATATTGTTGCATTAAGAAAAAAAACTGCAAAGTTATAGGTGCTGGGAAACAGAATGATCTGGTCCAACAAGTAGAAGATCCTAGCAGGTTGGGCGAGTTCTGCTTTCAAACTAAAAGAAGACTGATTTCCCCAGCTTCTCCATCAAGCTTCCAGTGCACAATACATTTGCTAGCGTGCCCTTAACAGTGTTTCTCAACATTCTTGTGAGTAAAAATGCAAGACTTTCACAGGGAAGAAGGGGACACAAAAGTAGGTCAGTAGTTAGCTCAGTGTTGGAGGGCTCGAGGTGATGAATGAAGTGAGACTTCAAAATTTCACATACAGAACTTCTCATATTTACAAAGCCTATGACACTCATCAAATATACCTCAGACACACCTCCCACGAAATGAAAACAACTGCTGAAGGGTAAAGCAGAAGTGTGTCTGGCTCAGGACCACACAGGAACACAGGAAAACACTGAAAACCACAGTTCTGGTCCTGCCATCCTCAGCAATGAACACTTTTGAGCCATGGCACATGGGTCTGCCCAAGAGAAAGCCAAATATCAGAGAGCAGAGTGAGTGACTCCCTGTGACTACAGCCAGAGATGCCAGTCTCTGCTGCTGTGGTGTTTCACAGAGCTGCACCAAAGAGGAAGGGGAGGAAAGGAGGTTGTGCGGAAGAAAACTGGTTCATCAGCCACAATGTACTCACATTCATTTGCATCCTACCTTTCTTGTACGAGCTATGAAAACAAGACTGTTTGTATTAAGATTTTCTGATCTCTCATACATCCCCCAGAGTGATTTTAGTTTGTGTTAAGCTCATCTAGGAAAGATGAAGAGAAAATTCCTCGTTATCCTGTAGCAGTTGGTTATTCTGCTATGTGCCTGTCAGACAACCAGGCCACTGATTTGCTAATAATATCAAAGAAATGAGCTGCAGAAGCCTTTAGCCTTCTTAAAGAAGACACCACTTGAAATATTAAAACCTTACAACGTTCAAGCTTTAACTCATTGAATCTTATCTGCATATTTTTCAAATAACATTCCCATACTCTCACAAAAGAAATTAAGTATAAAAAAACCCAACAAACCAAAAACACTGAACAAAAAGGAAAAAAGAGACAGAATACCTCAGCTTTTGACTTTATGCTTTACAACAGAAAGCAGTGAATGCTCAAATAGCAACAGAAATGATGCCAATTAAGATATTATTTTTCATTTGCTTTTATTACCACTGCTTTCAGAAAGTAATTACTAAATGCCCAACTATTCTAGGGAAAATGCCTGCAGAAAGACAACTACTTTCATCTTAAATATCAGTTTCCCTCAACTTCTCAAGTGGAAGAAAGCCTGAATTTCAGAAAATAATGTTGGCACCTCCCTGCACTGGTGAGCAGTGCAGCCTTGTAGACCCACAGCATGCTACAGACAAAGTGGGACAAAGACAATCAAATAATAATGAAATTGTTCCTTTCCCATAACTTTTTTTAGCATAAGACTTCTGGAATTTAGATATTCAGAGGACACTCTGTGGCCCTTCTGCAAAATACGCGTGTCATTTCACTGCAAGAGATCAGAATTTCACCAGTCTGAGATTGGGTGAGGCGACTGCCTAACGCGTAATCAACAGAGAATCAAGAAGCAGCTGTAGGACACACAATAAACATGCACAGAACATGCATCATCTCTGTGACCGTGTTATCTTTAAATGCAGAGTGTCAATAATAGTGAACTCAAAGAAGGAATTTCTTGAGTATTTTTACACACCCTCTGATTTGTTTCATAGCTGAGGATACAGTGTTTTCTCCTCAGATTTAACAGAATCTGCTTAAGTCCATCTCACTACGTTCTTATTGCTTTCCTGAAAAAGCATTTTCTTTCAGAGCAAAAAAGCCAATGTACTGACTAAAAAGGATGGCAAAAATCCATAAAATGGGAAACTCCTCAAGGAGAACGTAGAATTATCTCTGTTATTTCAGCTCTGCTGCCCAATCTCATGGGTATTCCAAAGTACATCGTCCCCGGGCTGACGTAGACAAAGGTGTTCTGCCCAACTTTGTACAAGCCAACAAAGAAAGGATTCAGAAAATAAGCTCCAGCATTTAGTGGGAACATCTGCCCTCCATGAGTATGACCAGAGAGAATTAAATTTATTTCTGGTCTCTCCTGAAGGGCCCACTTTGCAGCCATCGGCTGATGAGCTAGCAGAACTATTGCATGCTCACTGCTACAACCTCTGAGAGCTTTTTTTAAATCCATGCCATGCCCTGAGTAACGTAATACATCTGCCTCAATATCATCAACACCAGCCAGGCAGAACCAGTCATCAGTGCTCTCCGGTGAAACAATCTTCACGTTCTCATTATGGAGTGGCCGAATGTTAAAAGATTTTAACAGCTCAAACCAGTTGCTAACATCTGATGTGTAGTATTCATGGTTTCCCGTGACAAAGTACGTTCCCAGAGGAGAATGAAGCTCTCCAAGAGGCTCAACAGCAGGCCGTATGATCTCTGCCTCGGAGTCAGTCAGGTCCCCAACGATCACTGTGATATCTGGTTTCAAAGCCTTAACCATGCGCACGATCATGGCAAGCTTGGTCTTCCCAACCGTAGGTCCCAGATGGATATCCGAAAGCAAGACCACTTTTAAGTTGTTCATTGTTGAGGGCAGCTTGTGAACTGGAATCTCCACTCTATTCACTGTAGGAGGCTGGGAAGCATTTAGCAGCCCAATGACAGTCAGTACAGCAGTCAGCATGACTGCCAAAACCGGCTTTGCTGCTGTTCTGCTGCTCTTACCACTGCTGTTTGCCTTAATACCTCTCCCAACAAAGAACTTGTAAGCTTGTTCTACCGAGCCTAGAGCAAAGAGGAAGAAGATAAGAATAATATAGGCCCCCAGGCAAGTGTAGGCAGCTAAAGAAAAGAAATAGGGCTCTTCTGCAACAAGAAATAGCAACGTAAAGAAACTTGAGTGAGCCAAAGCTAGAAACATGAAGACGGCTATCTTCCATGGCATGAAAAAGAAGGAGCTGGCAGCTGAAGACCTGGAAAACATGGTGACTGTGCTTTTCCAAACATGGAGAGATCCTATCAGCATCAGCGTGTTAGCAAACAGTGCCATCTGCAGCCTCAGAAGCCAATGCCGCGTCCTGAGCTCCAGTTGTTCTGCCAGAAAACTCCGTGATAACATCATGGAGAAGAAAACCACTCCTGCAGCCACTGCAGCCTTTGCCTCAAGGGGCAGTTGCTTGAAGGAGATCATCTTTGTTTCCTGTCCGTTCTGTAGGAGTCTCCAGCAGGCAATTATGTGGTTATGAAGGGATGCCTTGGGTCAATGCAGCCTGCAACCAGGAACCAGTATCAGCCGTTTTAAAATATGACACACATTCCCTTTTTCCCAGACTGCAATAAGGGACTGTAATTCTGCACATACTACCAGGATACTGGGTCATCCAGAATCACTACCATCAGGAAGGAAATTTCCTCATGCTGGATAAATAATGATCTGAAAACACTCAATCCTGACATTCTGCTTCCAAGTTCTCTGCCTGCTTCCCTCAATGATTCTTCCTCTTTTCTTTTCTTTGCTTGAACATGTTCTCTCTCCACTATGACTTCCTTACAGCACTTGGCAATAGATCACAACACTGATGCAATGACCTCTGGAAACAATCATTAAACTACTGGCAAACAATCATTATAGTATTCTACAAGCATGACTAAGCTGTTTCTGCTACTAGTGTATGCTTTTTCTGTTCTTTTTCACAAGCAGTTGGCACCATCCCAAAAGCAGGTATTACAATATATCCTTCTTAGTGAACACAAAACTCTATAAACTTATACATCAGCAGTGGGATGCCCACAGAATGGCTAGGAGATGCAGCTGTGATCCTAGAATAACGGAACACTATGGATGTGGAAACATCCTTGCCTCCACTCGTGAATAAGAGCTCCCTGTATCTCTCAAACTTGGTAGGGCCAGTGAAACTCACATTGTGTTTTGTTACTCACTTCCTGCTCACTCCTGTAACATGCAGAGTTCCTAAGACTTGACACGTATTTCAGCATACCCTGGCCTAACAGGATGCAATTAAATTGAAATGGGATTTAAACATCATGTACTGTGTTCCTTTGGAAGGAGGGTACTAAGATAATACAGTTCTGCTGCCTGACTGAAACAGCTAAGCAACCATTCTGTACAAATTCTACTGGAATTCCCCACTTTAATCTGTATTTCATCCAGAGTATATAGTGTTTCTACTACTGCATAGTTCATGTATTTCTATTTAAAATAAATACAGTTTTATTTTAACCACAGGTGATAGGTGTTTGGATGGTCTTTTGTACTATACAATACTGACCGAATCTGAGATATCAAAAAAACTCGATTTAAAGCCACATAGGAACACACACTGTTTCAAAACACTTCCTGTATTTTGGTCTCTATTTAACTAGAAAAAAAGAAAGCAATCACTATCACCAAAAATACCTCAGAACTAGGGCAGAAGAACAGTCTTGTAAGATTACACAGAGAGCTAGAGACCAGATGTCTACAAACCTAAGTTTGCCATGATGCTTATCTGTATCCCCTAACTGAAAGGGATGTTAGCATCTCTGTTTTGACAGGTCCCTGCTATGTTTTGAAGACTAAATGAAGCTTTACAAAGACCCCTTCTTTCATTGGTTGGTCACTGAAATACAGGTTAAGAAAGAAAAAGTGCTGCAGCTCTCAATTCCTCCAGGCCTCTCAGCTGTTACAACACTGTCCTTAAAAAAATATAATGCTGTTTTACACAAATGCCTCAACAGAAGGTAAAGCTAGGGAGATAAGAAATGCCCAACTGGTTCAAGTCCACAGACCTCTTAGACTCCAGGCCATATTCAGCCTGGACAACAGCAATAAGAAAGGTCTGTAGGAATAATGTAACCGTGGCCACTGCCTGTGTGCTGTTCCTCTCCTACTTCTGCAGCAGACAGAACTGTTACATTAAGGATGTACCAAGGCACACCCTCTGCCTTGTCCTTTATATACATTATTTATGAACCTGATATATATTGTCTAATCCTTCTTGTTGGAATCTGTTTGCTTCTACAACCTCCTGTAGCAACATATTACTAAAATTCACTGTATATTTTTATAGCATTTTACCTACTTTAAACTAATCTACTAATCTCAGACCATTAATTTGGTGTCAGCTCCCCCTCATCCCTTACCTTCACAACCTCGTAACACGCAGTCATAAACCCACCCCTCTCAGTGACCATAATTACTGCCACTGAATTCCCTTGGATAAATATGCTGCTTTTCATATAGCTTTAGCCATCTGCACGTCACTCAATTAACAAAAATTAACATAAGAGCAACATTTTGCTTCAAGCTTAAGGAGCAAGTGACAAAGCCTATCTCTCACAGCGACTGTCTGGACGAAGAATTTGCCCGGGCCTTCGTTAGGCAGCTGTGCAACCCTCCAGAGAGACACGGAGGGAGCCAGTGCCACAACGGGGCAGGATGGAACACAGCTCCCTCACACAGCACGCACACGAACAGCCAGTTTTTCCATGTGATCAGCTAACGCGGTGTCAGGCAGCAGCTCCGTTTTCGCTCCCCCTCCGCTCCCCCCCAACCCCCCTCTCCAAAGCCACTTAATGTGTAATTCCTCATAAAATGGACCTAAAGGGCGGATGGGGTAGAACCAGCCCCAACCAGGTATGCGAGAGCCCGAGAGCTGAGAAGCAGAGGGGCTGGCGGGGAGGGAAGCGGCCGCCTCACTTCCTCACATACGCGGGTGCCGCCGAAACGAAAGGCGCTGCGGGAAGGAAGCAGCCGGCCTGGCCCGCACCCCCAGCTTAAAGCACTCATTGATAGCAACTCAAAGGTCGCTGTTATTAAATAAAAAGTAACGAAGGCCGTGCACCGTCCTCCTTCCTAGGGGCAGCGTCCTCCTTTCCTAGGGGCAGCCACCTGAGGGGCCATTCATCTTCCCTCCGAGCCCGGGCACGCCGAGCGGACACGCGGGCCGCCCGCTGTGCCAGGAGGCGAGAGGACTCACCGCCGCACGGAGGAGCTCCGCCAGGCCGGCCAGCGGGAGCAGCAGCCGCAGCATGACGGCAGCGAGCGGGAAGCGAAGCACTCGGCGGCGTTCGGCCCCGGCGCACGGCGCCGTCAGCTGACTGAACCCGGTCCCCGCTTGCTCCGCCCCGCGGCTTGAAGGGGCCGGACCGGGAAGGGAAGGGGCGGCCGCGAGCCGCTGCGAAAGGGAAAGTGTGGTAGAGGGGCGCGGGCCGGCAGGAGGTGGGGGGTATTCCCAGCTAAAAAGGTGCAAAGAGAAAAGAAAATGCAGAGCCTCCGTGCGCCTTTGGAGACAGCAGCGCCAAAGCAAAAATGGAAGCCTACGACACTCGGTATTCCCAGGCAGTCTCCCATCCAAGTACTAACCGAGCCCGACCCTGCTTAGCTTCCGAGATCAGACGAGATCGGGCGTTTCCAGGGTGGTATGGCCGTAGGCACTAGAGAAGCTTCTCCAGCTGGTTTTAAGGTGCAAATCGCTACGTTTCAGTGACAGGCCTATCTCTGTTCTTCCTCTGCTCTGCGGCAGCCACCCTCCCACTGCCACGTTTGCCTCCATCTTGCTCTACCCACATCTTACAAACTTCACCTGCTTTGGACAGCACAAGGAACTCTTTAAGCAGCAGTATGATAAGTGTACCTAATTTCACTTCCCTCAGCTTCCCCTTCAACACAGCTGCCAAATCCCCCAAAAGATTGTCTCTTCTCTAAACCTATTCCTATGTTTCAGCCACCCCAAACCCTCTGCAGGTTTCATGAGCATGAGTGAGCACAACATACTGTCCAGCTGAGCAGGCATCTTCTTACCACAGAATATATAAAGGCTGAAAAAGACCTCTAACACCATCTACTCCAACCATCAGCCCATCATCACCATGACTGATAGCCACATCCCTCCGTGCCACATCCACATGGTTCTTCTACATCTCCAGGGACGGTGACTCCACCACTTCCCCGGGCAGCCTGTCCCACCACCTCACCAACACTTCCAAGAAGAAAAGTTTCCTCATATCCAACCTCAACCTCCCCTGGCACAACCTGATGCCATTCCTTCCCCTCCTATCACTGTTAGCTGGGAGAACAGGTTGAGCCCTACTTCACCACAACCTGCTTTCAGGTGGTTGTAGAGATCATACAGGTCCCCCCTGAGCCTTCTCATCTCCAGACTGAACAATCCCTGTTCCATCATCTGCTCCCTGAAAGACTTGTGCTCCAGACCCTTCATAACATTGTTGCCCTTCTGTGTACCTGCTCCAGGGCCTCAATGTTCTTCTTGCAGTGAGGGGCCCCAGACTGAACACTCACCAGGGCTGAGTACAGGGGACAATCACCTTCCTGGACCCACTGGTCACACTTTTGATATAAGCCAGGATGCCATTGGTCTTTCTGGCCTCCTGGTACACTGCTGGCTCATGTTCAGCTGGCTGCCAACTAACACCCCCAGATCCTTTCCTTCTGTGCAGCATCCAGCCGCTTTGCACCTACTCCATCTTCATGTCACTTTCCCCATGCTCACACCTCTTGGAACACCTGCAAGCACACACAAGCTCTATCGGGCCCAGGGACGTGCCCCAGTGCCTGAGGGGTTGAGGAAGACCCTGTTGCTCTAACCCTGCCTACACCCACCTTCATCTGTCCCAGCCTGCATTTCTGCACAGAAGCACTAGCATTAGTTTACCGTGATGCTGCTGGCACCAAACGGAGATGGCCTTACATCTGTTAGCACCACGCAGACAATTTCCATATTGTATGTGAAGCTTTATATGGATGATAGGGAGACGATAGAGAGGAGAGGGACAAGAGGGAATGGCCTTAAGTTGCACCAGGGGAGGTTTGCATTGGATATGAGGAAAAAATAATTCTCTGAAAGAGCAGTGAGGCACTGGGACAGGCTGCCCAAGGAGGTGAATGGAGTCACTGTCCCTGAAGGTGTTCAAGAAACATGTGGATGTGGCACTCAAGGACACAGTGGTGGTGGTGGCCTGACGCTTGGACTCGAAGGTCTTAGCAGTCATTTCCAATCTTCACGATTCTGAGAAAAATAGAAAAGTCCTCAGGCAAACTCGCAGATTCCGAACAGCTTCCCATCCGTGCGCCAACCGGCCCCAGCCCTGCTTAGCTTCCGAGACCGGGCTGTTCCTCCCTCCCACACGCGGTCCCTCCCGGCCGCGCAGCCCCCCGCCCCCGGCCCGCCCCGCCCGGCCCCGTCGCTGCGCTCCGTCTCTCCCCGCCGAGGCGACGTGGTGCCGGCCGGGCCCGAAGCGCAGCGATGTGGCGGGCGCTGCTGGCGGCGCTTGTGGCGACGGCGGTCGCGCAGTTCGAGCGGTACAGCTTCCGTAGCTTCCCGCGGGACGAGCTGATGCCGCTGGAATCCGCCTACCGCTACGGCCTGGACCAGTACAGCACGGAGAACTGGCCCGAGAGCGTCAGCTACCTGGAGGTGAGCGTGCGGCTGTACCGCCTGCTGCGCGACAGCGAGGCCTTCTGCCACCACAACTGCAGCTCCGCCGTGCCGCCCGCCGCCCCGCCGCCCGCCGATGGGGAGCTGGCCGAGCTGCGCCTGCTGGCCGGCGTGCTGCGGCGGGCGCAGTGCCTGCGGCGCTGCAAGCAGGGGCTGCCCGCCTTCCGCCAGGCCCAGCCCGGCCGCGAGCTGCTCGAGGAGTTCCAGCGCCGCGAGCCCTACAAGTACCTGCAGTTCGCCTACTTCAAGGTGAGGCCCGGCCCTGCGCCGCCCCGGCTTCCTCTCCGCCTTCACACCTGCCTCGTGTCGCCGCTGTCACACGCCTGTGTGTCCACGTAGTACTGCCCAGCTCCTTCCTCATCACTCAGCCTGCGCAGCCCTGCTTTAACGTCCGGTTCTCATCAAGACGAGCTATTGGACTGCCTCCTTATCCCAGTGCCATGCTGTTCCTACCCCCAGCTATCCAATCTTCCCACCTGCATTACTGTCTTATGACTTAGTTTAAAACCTACCTCAGACCTTTTTAGTCTCCACTGTGCTATTGCGAGCACTCATTTCTGCTTCCTGTCCTCCAGCATGTCCAGGTTTCTCACTCAGCCCCTGCTGATCCCATTCTTGCAGTCACAGCAGCCCCCAGCATGTAGCTTGCACAGTGCCTGCGCTGCTTTAGCATTGTTACATCCAAAGGAAGGCATAAAGCAAAACTGTTGAAGGGTTGGAAGCACAAGTCTTACGAAGAATGGCTGAGGGAACTGGAACTGTTCAGTCTGGAGATGAGGAGGCCCAGGGGAGAACTGCATGATCTCTACAACCACCTGAAAGCAGGTTGTGGTGAAGTGGGGGTCAACCTCTTCTCCCAGGTAACAGTGATAGGATGGGAGGGAATGGCATCAGGTTGTTCCAGGGAAGATTGAAATTGGATATAAGGAAACTTTTCTTCTTGGAAGTGTTGGTGAGGTGGTGGGACAGGCTGCCCAGGGAAGTGGTGGAGTCACCGTCCCTGGAGATGTAGAAGAACCGTGTGGATGTGGCACTGAGGGATGTGGTTATCAGTCGTAGTGATGATGGGCTGATGGTTGGACTAGATGATGGTGGAGGTCTTTCCCAACCTTAACGATTCTATAGATTTTATAGAAGTGGCTGCTGGAGTGTAGCACTAATGCCAGCCCTGGAATGTTATTTGCCTTTTGCTCTTGGGCCACCCAGGACTGGGAGCACCACTTCCACCACATTCACTCTTGTTTCTCTAGCTTCTTGTCATCCTCCTGGATGACAAGATCCACCAGGATCTATTTCACTATTCTATTTCTATTTTCCCACTCCACATTTTCATTTTTTGTTCTCTAAACCAGGGCCCTCATTCCATTCCCTCAAATTTGCTGTCACTTGCATTCCAAATAAATGCAGTATCTGTGAGGAAAGAAAGCAAGCTGACCTCTTTTGTTTGGATGGATTGCCATTTCTTTTAGGGATTTGGTCCTAGTGTAGCCCAGTATTCATTATATGAGATTGTGTGCTTGTGCATTCCTTCTGTGACCTTTGCTTAAAACATACACATCTTACTAACTGTTGCTATGTCATATTTGTAGGAATGTCTTTCCCATATGGAAATTTGAAATTATTTTCACAAGTTATATAAACCAAAGCAGGGAAACAGTCTCACAGAACATCAGTGATCAGTATCCATACACACCTAGTATCACACGATGAGCAGCATCACACCAGCCTAGTTCTGAGCATTTGAAGCTACCCCAAAGGCTGTACAGAAGAACTTACCTTAGTATGCTTTAGTTTCTTCACATGGAGAGTAGAAGGTACCAAATGAGACATTTCTTTTGAATGGTAGGCACTGCTAACTCAAAGCCATATACCAAAATGACACCACCACAAATGTTTCCATTTATTGTCTTTCTTTATTTGTTCCCCCTGTAGTACATACAAATGTGGCTATGATTGCACCACATCAGGAACGGTCATGGAGCAAAAAACAATTCCTATGTACTGTTTCTGACATGTGAATGATTTGAATGTGAGTGTGCCTTTAAGCTGTTTTCCAGCCCCATTTGCAGTAGGTCTGTAAACAGCAGTTTGGTGTATCTCTGATCAGTGCTGTCGTTTATATTGCCTTTGTTTTTATACTGTAGTCCAGCTTTGAGCTTTCATCACTCACTTGGAGAGCTCTGAATGGGCCTTCTAAAAATACAAACTGCTGCCTGCAGAGGACTTTTTCTTGGCTGGTAGTTTTCTGAAGAAGGGTGTGTCGCTTTTTTCCTTCTTCCATAATATCACATATAATACAGAAAGAAGGCATAGAGAAACACTCTATGGATTATTTTTTTTTTTTTTTTTTTTTTTGAGTGAGCACATATTTTTTCAAGTGGGTTCAGGAGTGAAATTTTGCCACGTCTTAGATGATCCTGGGAGCAGATGTTCCTGTGCTGCTTTTGCTCCTCTGGAGGGAGCTGCCTGGTAGCCACTGAGTTTACATAGGAATGTGTTTCTACACAGCTTTCTTTTTCCCCCTCACTCACTTTCACTTTTAGCATGAAAGTTACAATCAAGAGTAAATAATGTACCAAGTGAAGATGAGAGATTGGCAAGCTTCCCAGCAAATAGGGTTAAAGCATTAAGCATGGGA